CTAAGCAGACCTCAGGCTCTGACACTCAGGCTTCTTCAGGTCGGGGCGTATCCTAATTCCGCGCTATTGAACAAAATCTAATCCGAAATACAGTCAACTCATAGATGTTCCTACTGCCACGATATCGCTACCTTGGAACATATTCTCTGGCGGTGCCCCGCGTTACGCTGTGGGGAAGTCATCACGCCGTCCAAATGGGAGGGCGCTATTGCAAGCTCCAGACTTGAACGACAGCTATGGTTGGTCCACCGGGCCCGTGACGCAGCAGAGACTTGGTCTTTCTGTCCCGCCGCGGGAGTGGCTCGCAACGCGTGAAAGCACGTTGCGAAGGACCAAATAAGTTCATTCATTGATCATTAATAAAATCAACATCGGCAGCCTTGACCAGACGAACATAAGGGTCCCAGCAGGAATCGAACCTATGCATTGTGCGTGGCATTTATTCATTCTACCGTAGAGCTACGCCACGTCTCCGCACTACTTGAGAAAAGTATTCGTATCTGGTGCAGTGATGGTGAAACGTCGCTTGTGGTTGCAGTGCTGGTTATCCAGTTTTGTAGAAATTAAATATGTACTCCTATGACACAGCCCTCTCGTCGAGTTAACGTCAGTTGTTAAGGGTCCTCCGCGGAATTCAAGTGACCGTGTCGAGGGGCGCCATTCTCGCGAGCACGAGCGGTATATTTCAGTTTTCCACTTCCCGTGTTGCTGTTGGCATCGTTCTGCAAGTGTGAACAATCGGTTAAATAAAACATGTGCGACTGTTCAATATGTCTGTGCGCACACCATTTTTACCTATATTTATCGTTATTTCATATTTCATAACGTGTCGCTCAATAAAAAATCGCAACGCATTCACCTTCCCTCCGCATGCTTTGCATAACGTCGATTCCCAAGGCACATGTATGCCATCTGCCGTATTTTTGGTGTTTATAAATAAATTCACTTGCCCTGACTGATCCATGGCAATACAGAAGAAAGCGGGCCAAGAGCGTAAACAAAGATACTTCAACAACAAAAAAAACAGTGATAAAAGTTTGAATGTGCCGAATTTCAAACATTATTTTTACACCCTTAGCACCTCGTGAAAGTTTTAGATTATTCCTTATTGAGGTGAGAATACATTTGGATCTATGTTCAATCAAAAAGTTGTCTGCGTACCTAAGACCATAGACGGTAATTTTTTTTTGTGGGGGCATTTATGTGTAGAACAGCTAACTTCGACAACTGGTGGTGTATATGAACGAGCGTCAATACTTTAATATAAGCCAAAAAGATAAAGCATCAAAAATTTTTGGGATGTGCGAGATCTCTCTCATGGCCTCCCTTATTTACGGCACTGTACGGCCCTTTTATATTTCGGCCGTCCTTCAAGGAAAAAAATCAAGCCATCAGAAACGTTCCTTGTCGGTTAAGCGGTAAAATTTTTCTGTAAAAAAGTTGCTAAATATTTTGTCGTGAGTGTGTCCTAACACAATTTTACAGCTGAATGCTTGTTCCAAGGCACGATGAATTGATATCAAAACCGTAATTATAGAACAAATTAGTTCAGAATGAAGAACAAGAGCGTTTCGATTTTTATCGTCAACGCTGAAATGTTTCATACGTAAGCTTGGCTAGAAAAAAATGAGTTTGACAAAGACATTATAGCACATGAATGACTTCAGACACGGTAGCAAGGCACGGATACTACAATATGACTTTTGAAGCAATGTTCCAAATTTAGAGAGCTTCTACCGCGCGCACTGAAAATTTGTGATTAAAATTCAACATTCGCAAACAAAGCAGTTCTTAATTGGCTAGCTTTTGGATTGTTGACCTGGATTGTCAATACACATATCTGTATACAGGACTTTCTATATATCACTCTAATATTCATCATAAAAGTGCGCAGAATAAATACACACAGCTCACAATAGAAAAAAAAAGTACACCATCTCCCATCTAAAGAAAACCATGATTAGCATGAGAAGCAGCGGATGGGTTGACCTATAAAAGTTCCCTTCATCAAGACACCTGGCGTTCATGCGTGCTCACAAGTGTAGCACACCATACATTCACTGTAGTTTTCGTTGCTGTTACTCGTCAGCAACTCTTTTTGGAGCACGCCACGTGGGTTCATCGCGAGTCTGCTGAATCTCGTTCCCCGACGCCATCACATATTTGCTCAAAGAGTGTAAGAGGGAGAGGTCACAATGTTTTACTTAGCCCCTTAGCCAGGCCAGAAAGCGCTAGGTGGTGCCGGTAGGTGGCTATGTTGTAGGATAGATGATTTAAAAGAGCACTGACATCAAATTTCAAGATCTAGATGTGCCCATCATTCGATCACTTGGTATGCATAGGTCATCTTGGCAAAATATGAATGGCGTCTGTCGCGTTGAAGCTGTTTTGTTTCGATGTCAAGTAACGTAAAAAATCTAATGAAAAAAACGAAAAATAGACTGCCATGCGACATCGACACTGGTGCTAGGTGTTCGGTGTGATACATTCCACAAACACCATCCTGAGTGACGATACGGTAGTAACGATGACGTCGATGATCTCTGAGTGTGTTTGGAGCCGACTCCCAGCCATGCTCTCACTAGTGGCTCTCCTTGCTGTGTCGAAGCGTGTGTGCGATTCATCGTGTCGCATCGACTGATTTGCGTTGTGCTCCACTGCGTGATAGTAGGATCGTTGAGAGTGACAACACGTGCCAGAATGTCAGGGAACCGCTGCGTAGTGGGAACCTGCACGTCGAGGCACGGAAAAAGCGGAAAGTGCGTGGAGTTTCATGCTTTTCCAAGCCACGAACCTCAACGCAGCCAGTGGGTTGACTTCGTACGCGCTGTTTGACAGAGGGACAGGACGCCTGCGAAGAACAGCCACGTTGGCTCCCTTCACTTTGCGGCGAGCTGCTACAGGGTAAATCCTGTGTTGGCGAACCAGTTGGGTTTCACTGGTAGTACGAGGCCTCTTCTCGAGGCCGGGGCTATTCCTACCGTGTGCCCTGCTGCAGCTGAAAGCAGCAATTCACCCGTCAAACGTCTGCTACATGAGGTGCGTAGTTGGTGTTCCTGAGCTCCGACAGTACGGCCGAGACTGATACGTACATTGCATTTAACGCGGAGCTTGTAAAGCAAGGATCGCCGCGAATCGCGGCGATACCCAATTCCAGGTCGCTGTCATCATCACTAGCCGATGTTGATTACGAAGACGGTGAGGGCGACGGTGTTGGCGACAGAGGTATGTCTACGCCTTCAGACACACAGCTGGACTGACTGTACGTGCGCTCCTAGCAGACGAAACACCAGTGCGACGTCACCATATTTAGTGAAAGCGGCATCAGCTGTGCAGTGGTCTTGACGTGGCCGCGAGGTGGCGCTGCCAGCACTAAAATTTGGCGGGCTTTCCACCCGCTTTGAACCACGTTCAATAGCGAATATATTGATATATACTACAGATACTCATTCGTCACTCAGGTGCGTTTTAGGTTGTAAATCGCTGCTAGGGGATTGATAGCTACTCGTTGACGCAAAAATCTTGGCATGTGCCAATTTGATGTGAGTGCTCCTTTAAATTAGGCACCTTTATTTACATAGCGTAAAAAGTTTTTAAGGTGCACGAGGTAACGTATAGTGACGTTAATTCAAGCAATCAGTAAAAAACAAAAGTGTCAGTTTTGCATAATACCACAAGACTGAAAACTGCGTACTAAGCTTACATATATCGTGTCAGCGAACTTGAATGCATCACCATGCTAGTGAATAAGTTGTTCAGACGCTCGTATTAATAACCTCCAAGGTTTGTTCAACTAGATATTTGAACAGGGGTAAGGCAAAACGTTAATGGTACGCGAAAGGTAATAACTGTTGCATGCAATCAGCGTCTGCTAACGTGGAGCAAAAAAGTCGTAAAAAGTTAGTAATGACTTAAGAAAATTAGTAACAGTGGCTGTTACTATTTGCTCGTGGTAACAAGCTTGTACAACCACAATTGACGTTTCGCGAACATTAGGATTCACTTGAAAAGAAGTTCCGGTACCTGGCGTGGCTCTGTGCTAGAATACTTGATGTCCACGTAAAACGCTAAGGTTCAATTCTTGCTGGGACTCGGAAATTTATTCTTTGAATTCGTCGGGTCAACGCTCCCAGTTTCAGCATTTTCTTTACCCTCTCGCGGTAAAATTACTGTTCTATTCGCGCTGTTCTTGGGTGGATATGAACTGTTCATCGCCTGTGGCACATACCGGCATATATATATCATGGCCAGTGGTACACGAGCTATGTGCCGCAAATTTCCGAAGAAAAGGGTTTGACGACGCACAAGGCGAGATTTTTTAGTTATATCACGATCACGTATACATATTTGTCACACCTCTACCCTACCATACCAATTTCGTTCTACTCCAAATAAAGGAGGCCATCACCAGAGCTCACATATGTAAGCGGCTATATAAAATAATAACGCTCGAAGTGCCTGTAGTTCACCAAGAAAGGCTTGAAAGATAAAAGATGCTGCAGTTTTACATGACGTGGCCACTGCATGCTGTTTGCGAGCAATATTTTCACCTTTGGGGACGCTTGCACCATTGGTCAACATTAACACTCCATGTCCTTGGGGTACAGCATATATCTTGTTTAACCTCTCAGAGTTAAACAGCAGCGATCAGTGTTCTGACCCTAGCGTGTTCATTCGTAAACTATTAGCACTAGCGAATATGGCCGAGGTATGCATATCGTTGACTATACGAGCAGTGTATACGTGTAGGTTGATGTTCGGTGGTATGCAAGTTAGGATTGCGTGTTGCCGAGCTAGTTATAGAAAAATTAGAATATCGGTAAAAAAAACAACTACAACGTGCCCATATTTGTCGGCTCATGTATTTACTACGTGCTTTCGTTAGCACTGTAGTTGATATTTTTCAGGTGTGCCCATTGGCAGAATTTGGCACGATGTCATCGTGGACAAGATCACCGCTCGTCACGGAAACAGGACCATTTAGTTCATTTAATGCTGGGGTTTGACGTCTTAGAATCCCAATATGCTCCTTAGAGAGGAAATAAATGAGGGCAGACGAAATTTCAACCAAATGAGATCCTGGACAGTGCACCAAATTCTCAGCAAACGAGCCTCTAGCAATTTGCCTCAATAAAAATGGCAAGAGGCTTGCAAAAAAAGTGTTTCAAAATATAAGGCATATATTATACACACATATAGTGTGCTTAGGAAAAAAAGGTACAGTCGGGATTCCTGTACAACCCAGAATGCGAAGTCTGAACCCGGCTCCGGGAACCGTGGTACAGGTTCCTGACGAGCAGGTACCGGACGAAGGGCGCGTTGCATGTTCCGTCGTAGTTGTCGTAGTCGAAGTCCGTAATCAGTACGCAAAGGTGACCCGTGCCCACGCCGAGTGCGTCCATGCTGAAGCGGTCGTAATACTGCGTCAGCGAGGAGACCGCGTAGAAGGTGACGTTGTTCTTATCGCCTCCCAGGCGTTGGAGGATGCACGACTGCGACCGGTTGTCCTTGCAGAAGCTCTGGTCGTTGCAGGCCGCGTGAAAAGGCGCACGTCCGTAAAGGCTACCGTCTTGGGGCATCAGGACGCGACCGGCGGTCGAGTTCCACACTCCGGCTACGGCGATCGGAGCCAGCGACTCGATGACGCAGAGACTACTCGTCCTGACGCCCGAACCACCAGCGCCGTCGCTGGTAAAGTCGCGGATGGTGGAGTTCGTCTGCTCGGTGAACATTCTGCATAGTCGGTACGGGTCGGGCATCTTGGGGGGCACCCGGTAGGTGTACACGAAGTAGTAGTCCACCACGTGGGACACCTTGCGGGAGTAGTCGGCGCTGATGCGGTCGTTGTCAGTAATGACCGCGATGATCCCCTCGGTGTGCTCGGTGCTCCGGGCGAAGGCACTGTGAATTCCGAGCACGACCCGGACAAATGAAAGCAGATCATCGCCGCTTCGACACTCCGGCCGTGGCTTAACCCAGTGCAGGGTGACACCGTCCAGGCGGTACGCGCTGAGGGCTTCGAGGACACTAGTGGTGAGCGTGGCCAACACGGACGGGTCGCTACCGGCTTTGGTGAACTCAGGCGTATCGGAGCCGTATCCGCCTACAGTGACCAGGATCTTGATCTCCTTGAAGCCGAGTAGGTCCGTGGTGCGGCGCAGTTGTTGCAACCCGTACAGCTGGTCGAAGACTGGCAGCCTGCTCTTGATCTTGCCCTCCTCAATGCCGACTGACCAGTAGACAAGCTTGGAGCAGACCTGGAAGGGAAGCGACAGGATCGAGTAGTGTCGGGTCGCACCGTTGTCGTCCAACAAGCGCGTGTTGTTGAATAGACACATTAGCTCGGAGGGTGACGGTGTGGCCAGGGCGTTGTTCAGCGGGTAGACGGTCGCGTTGAACGCCCCGGTGATGTCGGGAATGATTGGCGGGTCGAGGCAAGGGCCTTTCGACGCTCTGGTCGTCGTAGGAGACCGAGTGGAGCCCTTGGTTGGAGGCAGCGTCGGTAGAGGTACCGTTTTTGGTTCAGGTGCCGCTGCATTAGCGGGCGTAGAGAGAAACAGGAGAAAGGTTGAAGGCAAGTGAGTGCTATGCTTTCAGGGAAAAAAAGGAAAACTTTTGCTGGGGCACGTTAGCGATCTCGGTCGATAAGTTTAGCGAGCAAAGAAAAATAACGTTGTGCTTGGGCTAATGATTTGAGGCAGAGGTACACGCTAGCGAAAGGAAGCCCGGCGAGCGTGCAAAGAGTTCCCAGGGAAGCCTCTATTAGAATTTGGAGGCACCATAGCGTAGTTCCAGAAAGGTAACAAGAGCTCCCACAGATAACGTTAAAGTACGTCATGTGTAGGAGTCGGGCCGTTTAATGGAGGCAATCTAGGAGTCAGACCATCACGTTTGCGATGACAGAGAATAATATGATGGAATATAATATTGGGTATCCCTCACCAGAGCGTTTCCTAAAATCAACTAAGAGGGGACTCTAGCACTACGATCGTTCAGCGACCATGAGAATGGTCGGTAGTACACGTATTTGCTATTCTTCATGCCTGCGGACTTCAAACCAACTTGTGGCTTTGTTCATTGATGTGTTTGGTTTTGCTTAGAACGAAAGAGGAGATGGTTGTGAACATGGTGAGCCGATTTGAAATGATGAGCCTGCAAGGATAAGGTAGTGATGTGCAACTGCCAACATTTGCTGATTGTCGTTGCCTCACAAAGAAGCTCCAAGCCACGCAAATACAAGTGTAGCCAGAACAAAGATTACACAAATGCGTGTACTACCCACCCAATTGGACCACAACTCACATGCTCGCTGAAGCGCTGTGCGTCACGGCTCCCATAGACACGAGTACCAGAGTTCTCTCAGGTGTATTTAAAGGAACCCCTGGGTGTGTAACTATGACGGTTGGTGGCGTCTTTCAAAGACGAAAACTTGAAGTGCCTCGTTTCACGGCTAATCGAGCGAAAGATGCAGGGTGAGTGGAGTGATACAAAATCACACGTAATCCTTCGTCACTAATGCCGCATTGTTACTCCTCACCACGTAATATCAAGTCGTGTCGTCATGATATACGACGCCTTCATGCCGCACTTATGGGCATGACATGTTTGTGCGGATTAAAATTGGAACGTGCCATTAAGCTAGTAGTATAGTAGTAGTAGTAATAATAATAGTAATTAATATTCATATTGTCAATAGTGGTGTAACATCCAAAAGAACTAAATATGTTAATGAGACGTGCCGCAATACTTTAATGGGCACACGATCCTGAAGCATTTTCACCTGCATGGAAAATGCAACCACCGGTTTACCTTTCTCGAGGCTTAAAGGTCGAGACGTTTGCGAAGCCAACTGTTCGTGTGTGCACACGAGCGTGCCTATGTCGTTTCCTGAAGAGGGCAATCTTGATATTGACATCAATGTCACTCACCGGGCAATGAAACCACGGAAAGTATAAGGACCTTACTATAACAAACCAGGTTTTTTCGAAAGTAGTAGAAAGGCGATTATTGCCACCACCATGAACAGGCATGCGCAATAGCCACCCGTTGATTCTGCGCAGATGATTTACAAGAGAAGCTAACAAGATGCCGACACATCTGACATTGCGAACTTTTGTCTCTCTCTGCGTCGGTACTATGTTTTTGCTGCTCTGCTGCACAAAAAGCCGATGTTCATTAGCCAGAAATTGTAATTGTTAGTTCATCATCCTCGTCGGTCGATCTTTTACCATCTCTTGTACGGAATTATTTGTTCTCATTTTAGTCATGCACCAACGTACGGAGGAGGAGCTGAAACATGCCCACAAGGTAATAATAATGTCGGGAGTTAACGTCCCAAAACCACGATATGGTTATGCGAGACGCCGTGCTGGAGGGTTTTCTAAAAGTCTTACGCCGATGTCATGTGTGTTGGGAAGCGTACTATGGATTATGCCTGCTTTTTGCTCTCCCGAAGGGGTGAATATTGAACCCCTGTACATCTACGCTCACCATAACAATACGGTCACTTGGCGAAAAACAATGGACGAGGAAGCAGCAGCGAAAAGCGCGAAAACTTTAGAATAATTACTAAAACGAGTTCATCCCCAACCGCGAGGTCTGACTATCTCCGATGGTGCCGATATGCTAGACAATGCAGGTTTCGGGCATAACTCTTACTCATCACTCTCTTTTCACAGAATGTAGTGAAGAGCTATCATCTCGGGCGAAAAGTATTTCTGTTCCAGCACGCAAAGCTGACTAGACCTCAATCTTTCAGCCTGAGAATGTTACAAACGGGAGCCGCCCCGTCGAGATGAAGGTTTAGTTACTCTTGATCCGGATATCGATAACCACTACCCTGAGTGCCATTAAGAGTATTAGTCGTTAGCGCATATATGTTCGGCGTTAAAATTGCTTCTTGATAAACAATAGGACTGGGTGTAGGGCCCCAAAGGCGGCTATCTCCATGAACTAACGACTGCCCAAAGAACCTACAAACAGGTGAACGACCACGCATGGTCTTCTGCCGCTAAAGTGGGTGCGGCCAGTAATTAGCCAGATAAAGCTTGTTGACCGACTGGCTGACTGCGAAAAGCAACAAATATATTAGCTGACATGACATCTCCGTCATGAAACGTTCTAAAAGGTAGCCTTGCCGATGGGGGCAAAAATGCTGTAGGCCCGCGTGTTCAGATTTGGGTGCACGCTAAGAAGCCTTAAGTTGTCGAAATCTCCGCAGCCCTCCACTACGGTGTCTCTCATAATCATATGGTGGCTTTGGGACGTTAAACTCCACATATCAATCAATAAAAAAAAGAACTCTCAAGAAATGAGGGAAGTTGTTGTGGCTGATACATGATTACTGTAGTAAACACTAGCAGCGCAAAAAGCCCGGCCATGAGATTCAAACATAAGAGAAAATCTCTGACATTCAAGTGAGTTTATTACCATAAAAAAAACTCCAGGGTCAGCGAGAACCGTAACAAAGAGAACGAAAAAAAGAAAGCGCTGTCACAAAAGCAGCTAAAACACCTCTATAGCAACCTTCTGTCTCATCGTCCTGCTTTCTTGCGCTGTTTATCAGCGTGAATGACCTGATAGCCCAGTTAGTAACTCAATTCCCTCAGTTTCCATGCCTAATAATAGTCTGGGGTGCAACTTGCCAAAACCACGATATGACTTTAGGGCCCGATTTAGTGATAATTTCAATATATGGTGTTGTTCGCCATGCACCAACATTGCGCAGTACCGGGGGAATAACACATGTCAAGCGCCCAGCTGGCCCCCGCCCCCCTAATCTGAGTAGCTGGCCCCCTGAATCCACGTGTTCTACCGCTCTAAACAAGTGCGATCCCGTCTGTACACAGGAATCGAGCGTTTCGTCTCCATCAAATTGGGCCGCCACGGCCGGGCTCGAACCTGTGACCATCGGGTCAGTCGCGGAGCCCCTCAACCGCAGCGCCAACATGGCGGACTAGTATCTGTACCTGTCTCTTCCGAGGGACCTCCCGAAGTGGTGGCGCTGGGCTCCGGCAACGGCGGCGATGACGGCAGCTGGACGACGGGAACATTGCTGTGGAACATGAAGGGCAGCAGCAGCATCCAGGTGGAGAACATCACGGGCGCCATGGCGGCGGCGCACAGGGCCCAGCTGCGCTTGCACTGGCGCTCTTCCTCGGGAGTCTCTCCAGGCCCCATGGACGCCCGTCGCTCGGGAGACGGCGTGTAGCCGATCAAGGGGGCTCCGTCCTGGGCGCTCGGCGGCGTCCGACGCGGCGTGAACACGATGACGTCGGGAGCGACCTCGGCGGTGCCGAGTCCTGCGAAGCCCGTGTAACGCCGCGGCGCGGCCCGATGGTAGCGGGGGGCACGTGCGCCCTCCGGCACCCTGTGTGGCACCTCCTGCGCCGGTTCGGGACGTCGGCCCAGTGGAGATTCTGGTGATGGCGTGTCCGAGTTGGAGAGCAGAGCGTCGCGAGGCATGTCGTTCGCTGGCTGGTGGTTCTTCTTGTTAGCCTTCGTTTCGCATTCACGCGCCAGGGCTCGCGCCGGCTTGCGCTCACCTGCTCGTCCTCTTCCTCGCATCAGCGTCTCTCCTGGGCACAGACGCCTCCAAATAACTCAAGACGTGAACCGTCACGTGGTTCTCTTTTTTCACGTAATTTCCTGCCTTATTAGTTCAACCACACAGAGGGCGCCCATAGCGTATGAGAGTGTAATGTGTGAGACCTCACGTAATCTGGCATCCCTGTGCTCCATGTTCGAGCTAGTCGGGACGCAGTTTCGTAGTTGTTCCTAGGCGCGCGCCTGCTTCATGACTCCATTTATACCGTAGCTCCGCTTTATTAAGGTCGTTTTCACATTATCGCCGTCTTGTCTACGTTGCTGAGCCCTCACAGATGATAAATTTCATCCGCAACCATTATCGTTCATCTTAAGTTTGGCACACATGAGCTGTTGGGGACAGGCAATAATTGAATCGAGTGGTTTTACCAATTCATACAAGGTTGAAGGGGAACTCCGGTGGTCCATTTATACTCACCGATCTTGAAATAACATTCAGCTCATGTTCTCTTTGGCGTCCTTAAATTATGAGCCAATTGATACAACCATGCGTGATTTTGTAGTTTAGAAATCGGATTTTCAATTGGCAATGATTTCCGGATTCACATTTGTAAATGCGGGCTACCCTGCCGTGTATGTGACGTACGTGCCCTGTCTTCCTACCCCGTCTCACCCAGCAGACGGATGCAGCACCCACTTTGTTCTACGAGGCGACGACGACCCGAGGACAGTTTGTTTTGTAAGCTGCACAGTGTGTGAGTCGTTGACGTCGGGTCTTACGGTAATACTGAGCAATGAGCAGATAAATGCAGGGTAAGCCAGGAGATGGGCTTCAGGCCCCGGCAGTACGAAATAAAAAGAAAACACGATACCTCGCGGTCACATCGTAGCTGTAATACTCGCTGAACTCGACAATGGTAAGTTCAAAAAAGGCTGGCGCAGCTTATCTTCGCGTCGGATGACACGGCCACCTTGCTTATCGCGCGATATAACGTGTGCTGTGCTTACACTTTGGACAGCCGTGGTGGCGTGTAGCCGGGGTTTCGTGGCGTCATCGTATAACCACGTGGAGCAGCTCCTATTTTCGCTAGAAGTTGTGAATATTCCTCTACGGCTAGTGGCTAAGGTACTCGGCTGCTGACCCCGCAGGTCGCGGGATCAAATACCGGCTGTGGCGGCTGTAACTTTCGATGGAGGGGAAAATGCTGTAAACCCGTGTCCTCAGATGTAAGCGCACGTTAAAGAACCTCAGGTGGTGGAAATTTCCGGAGCCCTCCACGACGGCATCTCTCATAATCATATGGTGGTTTCAGGACGTTAACTTCCACATATCTATCAATCATGTTCTTCTCACATTTCTGGCACTCGCCCAGAAAGGGGCATCGGTCAAAAACCGGCCGGCACATGGGTGGGATATGAATTCGGGTGAGATATGGATCTAAAACATGTATAGAATATTCAGTTTATGAAATCAAATCATAAATATTGAATGAAAATACTCCACGATCTTCATTGCTTGTCTTTATTTTTCTTGCATTTTCCCTGTTTTTTACATGTGCCTTGTGTTTTCGTTTCTTAGCATCATTCTCTTATGCACTATGCTTGTTTTCCTTTCCCAATCTTTCTGTAAACGCGTTTCTTAGCTTTTTCCTTTATGCTCCTATTGTGTCGGTTTCCTTTTTTTTCTTTATTTCTGACACCCTCTTTGTGTCTTCCTCTTTTTATCCCGATCCTTTCTCTCTATCTCTATAACTCTTTAATTTATAGCAAACAATGCAAGGAGACGATAAGGAGCCACGCCAGCAGAGTTGCTTTCAACGCAACGTCTAGCTCATACAAAAGCAGGAGTAATGATGATGATAGTATTCAATCTATTCCGCAGTAATGGAAACTATAAGTCGCTTCAACTTCGCATGAATGGGTCAGTAAACAAGCTCCAATTTTTTAGATGCGGAAGCATCTTATACTCGCGCCTTGTAGTGCGCCGTCCGCGCCGTCCGCACCGCTTCTCGAACATTCGACAGCTGACGCGCGCGCATGCGCCGTCGCGCCGTCGCCCACTCTTCCACCATCTGTGCATCCCTTCCTCCTCTACACACCGCGCGCGCTTCACTCCTCCACCATCTGTGCACCCTTCCTCCTCTACACACCGCGTTCGACATCTACAATTCTCCTGATTCTCCAGTGGACGCGCATGTGGCGTCGCGCTTCGAGAACATTCAACAGCTGACAGTGCATGCGCCGTCGCGCTGTATATATACTCAAGGTCGGCGCTCGCTCGCTCAGTTGCCGCTCGTCGGTTGGTTTGTACGGCGCGTCGACGTCCAAGGTCGCGGTGAAATGAATTCCAACGAATCCACAAACACAATGATCGACGTCCCTTCGACCAGCGCCGCCCTTTCGCATACGTGTGTACGTGTTCACTCATTTAACACCCCCTCCTACAACCACGTTAACCAATTTAGCCATCGACCCAAGTAAGTCGCAATTTAACACCCCATTTCACAACCACGTTAACCAATTTAGCCATCGACCAAAGTAAGTCGCACTTTAACACCCCGTTAACCAATTATATGCTCCGCATCCTCCTCAGTGTTCCCCCGAGGGAAGCTGCGGGCAATTTTTTTTTACAGCTCCCAAAAAAACTCCCCAGTTAGTGCAGTAGACCATGGCGATCACATCTGCCGATTATAACAGCGCCGCACGCCATGATCATCTTGTGTTTCCAAAAGCGATTCCCGTGCCTGAGCCACCACCCTCGTACGCGTGGTGACGCAAGCATGGCCACGAGTAACTAGACCAACCACTGTGCTCGTTAATTAACCACTGCGCTCGTTTCGCCCTACGAAAGGACATCTTGGCGCTGCTGGCATGCAGTTTCGGCCATGAAGTCTGCAATTTCGTTTTCCCGTGCTGCCCTCTGTAGTCGGGGCCCGAGACTACACAGAAAAGCGGCATTTCCAGAATGAAAGCATCCGTGATAAAGAAGCGTCTCGTCATTTAACCGCTAGAGGAAACATGCTCTTCGACACGTGCTCCTACGGGGGAAACCTTGCTCGGTAGTTGGCTGCGCACCTATGACGTGTCGTGTGACGTTGCTGAAGTGGGTGAAGCCATGACGACAGGCTATGCCTTCCCCTCCTTATGGCGGAGAAGGGTGGCAATTACACGCGAAAATTTGAAACCGACTGAAACGAGTGTTCAAACTCTGTAACTTCCTCATTATAGCACGTATTCGCAAAATTCTTGCAGCAGCATGTTCACATAGCAAGAGTGCGCATATTCCTCTTCACTACAATTTCTGGACGTCGGGGTCGTTTACTGGCCCTTTAGGAGGGTGAAACGCGAGGGCCGTTTTCGCCTGCCGTCCCCACCCACTTTCTCGTTCCCTTGAAATGCTTTGCTGCGCGTTCGATACGTCAACCATGCCGTCATGAAATAAAAGTTTCCGTGCTTGACAATGCCTCCTGCAATAAAGGTGCTACCCGCTATATGTCACACACACACACACACCATATTATATTATATATATATATATATATATATATATATATATATATATATATATATATATATATATATATATATATATATATTGTACGGTAAGTGGATTTGAGGGCACCATTGGAAAAATTTCGGCGTGCCCGCATCTTTGGGCATTAGCAATCACCCCCACCAAGCCAAGCATCGCAGGTTTTGTGCTGTCCTGTTTGCTATGACACGACCTTTATGCTTTATCACAAAGACAGTCTATCTCGAGAAATTGTAGAAGCCTTTCATATCGGAAGGTGTGCTGATAAATGCGTAAGCAGCCCGTCAATTGTACTAACTGCAAGGAGTTTTTTTTTAGCCACCTTGACTTTTACATTTTGCTGCACGTTGTACATACAGCTTATCCAAAAATTACTGTCACGTTTTTTTTTTGCTTCTTTGATTCCTTTTTACTCATAAGAGCTCTTGAGCTACCCTAGGATATATACTTCATGTACAATTTTCAGAATATTGACTTGCGAGTTCGCACCAGTTTGTCTTCTCGCGTTTCGTTTTTCGTCTATTGTATGCGCCCTGGCAATGTTTCCAATGAAGCCACATATTCTTTTGAGCAGTAGCAATCTGCCAACCAAACTTTGCCTCTCACTCATTCGGCTTTTCTAAGAATCTCGTCGATTACTCTTAATTACCATAAAATGCGCGGCATTCCCACAGCATGCGAAGGTTTCGTTTTCGACCACATTGTCCCTAACACCCATTCGTCCACTGATTCAATCTGATCTCCTCTAGTGCCAACAGGCAATACCTATCATTATTCCGTTCCTTGGCTCATCATGTCTTTCTGGTAGCCGGTAATATTTCAAGTGGCACAAATAAAAACAGAACACAATGAACTAGTAGAAGGTAAATTTGTTCGTTGTGTTAAATCAAATTGAGTACGTGGGCCACAATGAGTGCAACCTTGTCATCCGATGAAGACGCCATGCCGAGAAGGTTTCGCTGTCATGTTTGTTGACTGGAAAGTAAAAGACAAATATTCGCGCATGAATGACTTCAGACACGGTAGCAAGGCACGGATACTACAATATGACTTTTGAAGCAATGTTCCAAATTTAGAGAGCTTCTACCGCGCGCACTGAAAATTTGTGATTAAAATTCAACATTCGCAAACAAAGCAGTTCTTAATTGGCTAGCTTTTGGATTGTTGACCTGGATTGTCAATACACATATCTGTATACAGGACTTTCTATATATCACTCTAATATTCATCATAAAAGTGCGCAGAATAAATACACACAGCTCACAATAGAAAAAAAAAGTACACCATCTCCCATCTAAAGAAAACCATGATTAGCATGAGAAGCAGCGGATGGGTTGGCCTATAAAAGTTCCCTTCATCAAGACACCTGGCGTTCATGCGTGCTCACAAGTGTAGCACACCATACATTCACTGTAGTTTTCGTTGCTGTTACTCGTCAGCAACTCTTTTTGGAGCACGCCACGTGGGTTAATCGCGCGTCTGCTGAATCTCGTTCCCCGACGCCATCACATATTTGCTCAAAGAGTGTAAGAGGGAGAGGTCACAATGTTTTACTTAGCCCCTTAGCCAGGCCAGAAAGCGCTAGGTGGTGCCGGTAGGTGGCTATGTTGTAGGATAGATGATTTAAAAGAGCACTGACATCAAATTTCAAGATCTAGATGTGCCCATCATTCGATCACTTGGTATGCATAGGTCATCTTGGCAAAATATGAATGGCGTCTGTCGCGTTGAAGCTGTTTTGTTTCGATGTCAAGTAACGTAAAAAATCTAATGAAAAAAACGAAAAATAGACTGCCATGCGACATCGACACTGGTGCTAGGTGTTCGGTGTGATACATTCCACAAACACCATCCTGAGTGACGATACGGTAGTAACGATGACGTCGATGATCTCTGAGTGTGTTTGGAGCCGACTCCCAGCCATGCTCTCACTAGTGGCTCTCCTTGCTGTGTCGAAGCGTGTGTGCGATTCATCGTGTCGCATCGACTGATTTGCGTTGTGCTCCACTGCGTGATAGTAGGATCGTTGAGAGTGACAACACGTGCCGGAATGTCAGGGAACCGCTGCGTAGTGGGAACCTGCACGTCGAGGCACGGAAAAAGCGGAAAGTGCGTGGAGTTTCATGCTTTTCCAAGCCACGAACCTCAACGCAGCCAGTGGGTTGACTTCGTACGCGCTGTTTGACAGAGGGACAGGACGCCTGCGAAGAACAGCCACGTTGGCTCCCTTCACTTTGCGGCGAGCTGCTACAGGGTAAATCCTGTGTTGGCGAACCAGTTGGGTTTCACTGGTAGTACGAGGCCTCTTCTCGAGGCCGCGGCTATTCCTACCGTGTGCGCTGCTGCAGCTGAAAGCAGCAATTCACCCGTCAAACGTCTGCTACATGAGGTGCGTAGTTGGTGTTCCTGAGCTTCGACAGTACGGCCGAGACTGATACGTACATTGCATTTAACGCGGAGCTTGTAAAGCAAGGATCGCCGCGAATCGCGGCGATACCCAATTCCAGGTCGCTGTCATCATCCCTTGCCGATGTTGATTACGAAGACGGTGAGGACGACGATGTTGGCGACAGAGGCATGTCTACCAAACTGAAAGTTCGCAACTCAAAAGATAGTCACAGAAGCATTGGCTTACTTTCTTAGATTTCACTGAGTAAGAACCAGGGAAGTTTCTGAGACCGCTGTGTTTCCTTTTTTTTTTTTGAAGTCGTGCTTTTCGAAGCCGTAAGCGTGACGTGCTTGTGGCTAATATTTTTTTCAAACAGAGTGGCCGCATGCAGTTGAACTCAGGGTGCTGACGAACAGTTAAAATGAAGTACGAAATGAGGGGCCACAGTCAATGATTTTCACATCTTTTTGTGCGGCACGCGGGAGAGCAGCCCTCAACGCGGAAGCGTCCAGAGAATCCGGACGAGTGCACGGTCACATTGGCCCCGCACGAAGACACGACGCCTTACCTTGGATAGAAGTTCTGCGGAATCTCGCAAGATGGCAGAAGGGTTAGGGCAGAGGTGTAGGCCCCCTTTTTGCAATGTGTTGCAGCTCCGCACCACTTAGCCATAAGGAGGTATATGCGGATTTATCCGACAGAAGGACCCTTATAGTTACCGAGAAAGGCATCTTCGTGTGAGAATCCGATCCGGGAACAAGGCTTTTCCGGGGAGGTCACACTACTGTTCCGCAACTATGTATTTCGCTAACCGAATGGTAATATATTGTGTCCATGCGCTTAATGTTGTCGTTTACCGCGCCCTCACGTTGCCAGTTGCTAGCTCAATTTAGCGCTACGTTAATTGGATACAGCGACTGCCAGTGATGGCTTTGGTCCCAGACTGGATTCTCAAATTATAGGACCAATTTTCGGCCACGGGAAGCTTCCTGTCAGGGACATTTTAAAGCTATTTTTTGTAGTATTTGACAGCCGCTTGGCAATGTGTGCATTGTTTAATGAGTGTCTGTACGCTGTTTTTGAATTTCTCTTTTTGCTCTATTATTTATTCAATTTATGTAATCCTGAATCTAAGATGTAGTGAACTGATTTTTTTTCTGATTTACTCAAGAATACAAATCAATGCCCAGATGCCTTTTTATATGTGCTCTGCTGATTATAGATGCCGACGAAAGGGTTTGGAGTCTCACCAAGCTGCTAACAAGGCAGGTTTATGCTGTTATCCTTGCATTTTTTTTCCCACATATGTTGCAAGGAAAATGCTAATTAATGTCGAATTGAATGGAATTGAAATCTGCATGGATTTATTTGCGGCTTCGAGCTACAAACAGGCGGTCGTCTATCTATCTTTCTTAACTCTGCTTCCTTGCGAAACGCGATACAAAAGCTCCCGTTGTTGGGCTTCATAACAGGGTACTTCCACATTTAGCCAGTCGCGGTACGAGTGGTCAGCCCCATAGAGTTCTCCTCTAAGTACACTAAAGAAAATTGTGGCGCTATGGTCTATGGAAGCTGCAACGCCACGATTTTCAGCGAGCATGGCAATGATGGGTATTACGCGGATTCGTTTAATGTTTTTTCTTCCGGCTCTGCTTGAGTTTGCGTAGCTTGAAGCTGCCTTGTCACAAAACGGCAATCAGCAAATGTTCAGAAGTTGCAGTTCACTTTAACCTCTCAGGCTTACAATTTCAAATCGACTCATGTAGTTTATAACCGTCCATTTTTTAATTAGAACGAAAATCAAAACACGGCAATAAAGAAAGCCTCAAGCGCGTTTGAGTCACGCAAACACGAATACTAGGCTAATCCGTGTACTACTCATCATTTCCGTGGTCTGATGTAAGGAAACTCTACGGTCAGTCTATGCACAGGCACTGCTCGAATACGCGAGGCTCTGGTCAATGCATGCACATACCACGCACCACGGCTTGACAGGCGGCTGTTCTTCACTTGGGAAGCAGGTAGTGGACGGGCGGCATGTCCTCGATGTCCTCGCCGTTCTTGTCGTTGCACAAGAGCTCGAATATCAGATTGCGCACGTGAGGCTCGATAGGCTTCTTTGACACCTGGGCCACCACCTCACTCATGCTGGGATGAGAGCAGAATGATTGAAAGTACGTATATTTTTGTTCATACCGACTTGAGGTGCGAAATAACCTTCCCCGAAAGTCAGTTCGGGAATCGGCCAAAGCAAAGCTACCCCCAAAAACCCCTTGTGGAGTTCATAGGAAAAAAAAAACAGTTGCTGAAGTCAAAACTAATTACGCAGCAGCTAGAATACACATAATACTGTTCTTCAAAATTGTTTTTCTATTTCTTGAGTGGTTTTTAAGAAACTTGGTGAGTTTACGTGTATTTATAGGCTGATTCCCCTTTTGCAATTTACTTTTCTTGTATATTGTGAAGTTTTGAAAATAACAGGTACTCCACGTGCCTTTTGAAGAGCAGAATTTTACTAAAATCAGAGAGCTGCAAAGGAAATTAGCATACGACAATCTGGAATCATAGCTGATTGCATTGCAATGAAAATGAATGGTCTAAATGTATCTGAACAAGTTATGGTACCGTGAACATTTGTGAGTGATTCAATCTCAAGCTGAAATTTCACTGGCAAATGTTCAACATACGGTAAATTTTCTCTTGCTGGGTTAGAACATCTCTTTTTTCGCACAGTAATTAGCAATGCTTGCAAATTATTGTGACGTGCTAATGTACCTTCCAACTTTCTAAGTTTAGACAAGAACGTGCTCCCCAAAAGGCTCTTGAAATACTTAGTATTTTATACCCTACATTATACAAGAAAAATAACTGACTACAAAAAAATCAGCAAACAAATGCACATAAACGCACTAGGGTTCAACGAAATGAATCAAGAAATGAAAAAAAAAAGATGTTTAGCTGCCGTGTATCTCATAAATGGAAGTTTTATTATGCAGCTATGAATAACCATCCTGAAGATAATGCAATTCTGAGCTTTGTAGCATGGCTGCCAATGTAAGAGCCACCCGTTACAGAGCCACCCGTTACATTTCTAGAAACTATGACATCAATTCCAGTGTGACTCAGCTTAAACTCCATCATTCCCTCCAAGCATTAAATGTTCGTCGTCACGTGTCCTTGTTATGCCTATTTCATAAGTACGTCTACAGTAACAAAACATCGTCGTTGCACCTTCAACGCCCGCTCTACACGTCACGCAGATTACATAACCATCTCAGCTTCACTCGCATTTTTGGAAACACGAACGCGTTCAACACATCCGCACTACCACAAGCCATCCGCATGTGGAATGATCTTCCCGACGATATCGCCTCTGATAGCAACCCCAACACGTTTCGGCAAAAAGTTCAGACGCATTTCCTTAATATTTCATCTTGACGTTCTTTTACTTCTTTTCCGAGGGTTTTTATGTTACGGAGTGTTCTTATATACTTCATCGCCATGTTTACGTATTGCTGACTTATTGCTTTGTTAATTTTTTTTTTGTTATTACTAACCGACATTGTACCGTTTTTATTTTGAAATTTACATGCGATTTTTCACTGTAACCCCCCTTACTCAATGCCTTCTGGCCTGTAAGGTATTTTCAATAAATAAATAAATAAATAAGAGTGCGCCATGAATATTCGGGAAGCTGTGTGAACAATTGAATACTATGCTTCTCGCGATGTCCGATGAACAAATCGGACTTCCTCAAAGAAAGTAGTTTTGCTAGGGCTGTTCTCGATCATGCAGATCATAAAAGGTTACGATGATGACGTGAATCAGTTCCAAGAGAAGACTTATCAACCAGCCCAGGCACTATATTGCAGATGTAAGGTTCATGCTGTAAAAAACTGCGTTTTACATGTAAAGCAGACACTCTAGCTTTTATTAGTCCCCAAGAAATCAAACTTTTCCTTTGAAGACTTTTTTCTCGCCTCTACAACCCTCACGCCATTTTCATTATGCCAATTTTGTACAGGTGTATAGCAAGCCGCGAAAGAAAACATTTCAGAAACCCATCCGCACTACTTAGCGATTTCTCAAGCATATTCACTGCAGGACATTTCAAAAATAAACTTCTCGTAGAACAGGGAGCTGCAGTCAGGCGGTTCTTTCGACACTCGTCTACTATCCTGTAGTAACTTATGTATAAGCATACTATAATGTACAAAGTCGGGATCTTGACTTATCCACTGCTGAAGTTGTCGAATCGCCGGGCTCTGGTATTTAGTGCTGTCTAAAGCCACTAATGGGTGGCAACACTTGTTGGCTTATCAAATAATGCTTCAATACACTGCCGATTGATGACAGTAGTTACCTATGTTCATTTTCTGATTACCCCTGGCGTATATTTGTTGTTTACCTTTAAATCGGGGTTTGTCGTGGTTTTTTCTATTTCTCAAGTGGTAGAGGAAATTACGGTACCTTGCGCCTTCAATACTCTGCAAAGTCAGATTACTGACAATTCAGTTGTAAATAATCCCTGAAATCATTGCCGAACGTGAAGGCCCAGTGATAAAATAAAAGTGGGAGCCACTGGAGGTAAAAAAACTATAGTGGTGCCCACCATGCACATGCGTGGCCTTAACTACTTTTGCTCTTTTTTTTTTCTTCCAATGTGCTGCTTTTGCAGTGCAATAGTGGGTGCATGACCGACTGCGACATGTTCAAATCACCGAATGGCTGCTATAACGGCTCTGATGAGTCATTTTTGAGCTTCTACAGTCACTTTTCGAGACAAAAGAAAGCAATTATAGCCGACTTTGAGAATTCATTTTGAGTTCATGGCCACTTGATGCGCTATATCATTCGGTTCGCGGGTTATGGAGAGCCTCAACTAGCGATTATCATTGTTTGCTGAACATGCCCAAAAAGTTCTGCTGGGCCCCTTTAAAGCCAGAAACGACACTCACGGAAGGTCAAGGCGTTCGCTGAGCTTTGGTGGAGGCAACGTGAACGAGTAGACCATGGACAGTCCGTGAGACAGCATGGTAATCTCGACCTCGTACTTAGTCTGCAAGCACCAGAAAGAAGGCAGTCGAAAAGCCGACCTCAATAACCGTATTTCTGGAAAAGTTTTGAGACAGTCGCACGAGACAGAGAAGTCAATTGCACTACAACTCAGTCTTCATAACTACACATGACAGATACTAAAAGCACGGCAGCATAAACGTAGCGTTCTGGGCGTGCTGGTACGTCATACCATTGTTTTCTATAACGCACACATGCACAAAAAAACAAAAAAAAAACGCGGACAGTGATAGACGAAAGAGGCGCTATCTGGCAACAAAATTTATTCCAAAAAAAAAAAGATCCTACATATAGGCAGTATCGCTTTTCAGATATCATGACTGCACGAACTTTGTAAATTCACAGCTCTTGCCGTAAATACACTAACTCCTTACACAAAAGGGCCGTTGACGGTTTAGAAATACAGTTATCTGCCAGCTTATCGACAATTTCAGCTTCAATTATCTCCCTGATCAGCTGACCTCCGCTGGTGTAGCGACAATTGAATTCAATTGTCGGTACCAGCGGAGGTCAGCGATTTTTTATGAGTGTTACACTCACGAAAAATTGGCACTGCAAGTGACAGTGCAAGTGACGATGTCTGTACCATGTGCATGTCGATTTATTTTACGAATGATACACCTTCGGAAATTTCTAAAAATGACCACACGTGTGGGCATGAGCCACAAGTGAGTTTTGGTGTGCTCGGCTCTGAAAACCGCGATGCCTGACGCCAATTTTTTGCGTCGTTTCTACCTACGCGTACTTCCATAAGACACGCACCTTGAAGTAGTCCAGAAATTGTTGCAACGTGAGCTCGCCTTCAACTTCGATGTGGTCCCAGAGCGTGTACTCACGGCCGTTGATCTGTCCGAGCGTGAAATAAACAAAACACGCGCGCGTTGACTTGTTATTACCTCTTGTGCTCTGTCACTCTGCACTCGTTAAGTCGAGCACGACACACAGAGTTATTACGTGCAGTTCGGTGCAGGATCATTCATACTATGAAATGAGTTCAAATTCTTTTCTGACGGGCTACATCAGAGCCCGCATTTTTGATACGTAATGCCTACTGTATCTCGGACACGTTTTTTTTTCTTTAATGTGGAGCTACTCGCAAATCTAGCGTCGATAGTGTCGTCTACACACCCAGTGCGCATGCTCGCGTCTCGTGTCAACCTTCACTCCCACCCTTCCTCTCTCCTTTCGCAAGGTCGATGCAGGCAGCGTCTCCTAGTAAAAACCGAATGCTCGCGCGGCACAACCGTTCACTGGCCACCCCGTATATGTAAAGCACTGGATCGCACATCAGTGTACCACCACTCGTTGAAGGCAACACTTCTGCTACATTCAATAAATAAGAATAATAATGAAGAAATAAGAATTAAGCATGCCCAGAGCATATACAATTATTCAACACCCACGTGATACCCCCCCCCCCCCACTTTGCGACGCATTTACTCGAGTTTCTCCCCGTGGGAAGGTGCGGGTGGCTTTTTAGGGCCGAAGCTCCTTAAGCCGTGGGTCGTGCGTCTACGGCGTATGCATTAGTAGTAGTAGTAGTAGTAGTGGTGGTGGTAGTAGTAGTAGTAGTAGTAGTAGTAGTAGTAGTAGTCGCAGTGGTTGTCCTCGTAGTATTAAGAAGGCACCTCTCATTTAGTCCTTGGAATGTCCTCCGGAAAGCGGTACTTCTGCATGATAAATATATGTGATGAAAAGCTGCGAGATGGCGGTACTTGGAGTGTTCCCTAGATGGACAGACGAATGCACTGACGGACAGACAAGCAGACGGACGGATGGACGAACGGATGAACATACAGAGAGGCAAGGACGAATGCACGGACGGATGAACGAACGAATGGATGGACAGACGCATGGACGAACGCATGGACGAACGCATGGACGAACGCATGGACGAACGCATGGACGGACGCATGGACGGACGCAGGGACGGACGCAGGGACGGACGCAGGGACGGACGCAGGGACGGACGCAGGGACGGACGCAGGGACGGACGCAGGGACGGACGCAGGGACGGACGCAGGGACGGACGCAAAGAGGGACGGACGCACAGAGGGACGGACGCACAGAGGGACGGACGCACAGAGGGACGGACGCACAGAGGGACGGACGCACAGAGGGACGGACGCACTCAGGGATGGACGCATGGAAGGACGAATGCAGGGATGGATGGATGCCCGGACGGAAGGAAACGGGGATAGACTGACGCACGCTTCACCCCGCTCATCATCATCCACTCCGTGCGGATATGCTGTGATTTTTCTATGGATTCTTTCGAATGGCCACAGCTCTCATTGGGTCTCAGTAAACTTTTCAGTAGTTAGTCATTGTACTCCTCATTTCTCGGCACGTGCATGCATGCACAATTAATTGGGGAAATGTGTCGCGTCCCACTCTTATCTGAGCACGCTTTTCCGCATGACAACTGTCTACAACAGAGGAAACGACTTCACAGGTATCTACCACATGGTAGGCCAAGAGTAAAAAAATTAGATCTTTAGATCTTTATAATTTTACAACGCAAAGAGCGTGAGTGAGCTCTGAAGAAAGAAAGATGTTTCCTTCATTAGTGATTCACAAATTCACAATAAAAAAATACCATGCACGCTTCCCCGAGAAGACGCTTGGTGAAGCAGAAAACGTACGAAAATGTGTGGATGAAAATGGCGCACATCGAACTGAAAGAGGCAATAGACATACCGCTGTTACAAGGTCTAGGAAATTTCATTGAGCAAATGGCACTAAAATACGAAAAGATACCTTTTAGAGATTTCGGCTCACTGTTGAGCGAAGAAACATTGACCTTCATTTTCTGCTGTATTAATGAACGTATGAAAGCACAAGCAACACCATTAGAGTTTTCACAGTTCAATTTATCTAAGCCGATTCGTTCAATAACTTTAGTGTCTATTTAAATCAATCTGCAAATAATTTTAGGGCTATTTTTTACCGGATCAGTGTGTTTGTACAAAATCATCAGGACCATATCAGGGTCCTCTTAAAGAAAGAACTGATCAACTTGAAATCCACTCGAAGCGCTGCGCTCATGTGATCTAGCTCATATGTTAATACAAGTCTCATGTTAGATACATCTTTATATTTTCACTGAAAATTCCGATTTATTACTATTCTCCTTGAGAACGACGTGGCCAATAGGAAATGTATACAGTAACTGTTATTTAGCTATCCTGTATAGTTATAAACGCAAGAGTACTTAATAATTAGGATGACACAAAACACGGAATGAATCGACCCAATTTCACTTTACTAGAACGTCATAGACAAAGGTACCTTCAATACATATGTCTGAAGAATATAGATGCACAGCTGGTGATGAGTATAAATATTTTAAATTAAACACTTGGACCTGCATAGCATCACGAGACTTTATATAAAGACTGCTTCCTCACCGTGCTCTTCTTCGCGGCAATCGGCTCTGTGAATCCGAAGAATGGCAATGCCAGGTTGACGAAGCTGTTTCGGTACAGCTCCAGCTTGTTGTGCCCCTGTACCAGCTGCGCAAAAGTTTCAAGCAAAACGTATATCGCTGTATACAGCTCCTTATCATATTTGCTAACTTATATCAATTTGTAAAATACGCATTGTTACGCAGTAAGAAATAAGGACGAAGTTGATACCTTCCGTTTACAGTAAAAAAAAAAGTTTGCATGCAGGCATTGACACAACAGCCGAGTAACAAGTGAGAGAGAACAACCGGATGGAAAACCAAGTATGAATAAAAAGTCCTCTGCGCATGTGCAAGCATGCCCGATACCTGTCACTTTGGAAGACATGGGGACTTGCGAAAAACCAGTCATGCAGTTCATTTCTTCTTTCTGCCCGTTAATCGACTACCTCGCGTCCCAATAAGAACCAATTAGGATATACACTTCACAAGTGATATTTCACAATGAAAAAACAATAAAACCCAAATCAATGTGCTTACCGAAATCAGGAAGATGTTGAGAGGACGAAAAATTCTGAAGCTTGGGGTGTCACTAAGGTTAATGTACCGACCGTTGGTCTTATCTTTTCGTTCTTTCTCCCTCCCTCTAATCACTCATCCCCTGCACCTCCGTTTCCACACTTGTCTTTCCTTCACCCTGTTTCGTGGTTAAGGAAGAGAGTAGGTTGCGTACAAATGCACGCGCTAAAGTTGCTATCATGACGCAGAGAAGACCTTTTGTCGAAACGTCCACTCCGGTGACTTCTTGTGTCAATGAATGAAGATTAATCCGAGGGATAATTTTGCTTTGTTAGGCATAACAAGCTTAATGAGAGCCTACAAACAATGATGGCAGTGAAATTTTGGGACAGCTATTTTTAGCAAATAATTGCATATATGTGTTGAAATATGACCGAATTTTCGCCTATTCGCAACACGTGCATTGTTCTGCTAGTAGGTTTAAAAAATGAGTCTTCCACACTCGCCATCATGGCTACGAGCAACGCTGAACAAGACCCCCCCCCCCCCCAGGTATAAATGGAGAGACATACTCCTTAAAACTAATGGGAAGACGACAGTTGCTGTAGTTCAATTTGTTGAGCATCCGATGGGTTTTCCGATAGTTTCAGGTTGGGTCCTGCAGGTGCCAAGATGTATTTTCGTCCTCTTTATTTTTTAATCTTTATATCATCAATAGTACAAACAAAGACCTCAGTACTTTTCCTAGTTTGATTGTTTGTTGTCACTCGGGTAGTGTGTAGAGAAAAAACGAGCCCTTCGATTCTGCTTCTCCATTTTTAGTCCGAATACGCATCCCACTACCCACCAATGCCCCAATTCTCACCCACCACTCGGCCCACTCATCTGCACCACTAGTCGGGTCATATCGGTGACTGGAGTTTTCTTTGCGATCACTATAACATCAACGCCTTCATGACTCGTTTTATACAAAGTTCGTTTCTAAACCAAGAAATTCTAATCAGTGGGCTTCTTACAATGAGTAACTAAAGAAACCTAAACCAATATGTGTCTTACAACTAATCCAAATGCACTTTACCTTGTAGAGCTCAAGGCAGACGAGACCAGCGACCAGAGACGTGGTGGTTGCAATGGCCGGAATGATCTTTCCCGCGATAAGCTTGCTGTGGTGCCGATCTGCCGGTTGAATGTCGTAGTTGGCCGCACGAAGGTTGGACGCTGCCACAATGAAGTCCATGTGAAAGTTGGTGTCGTCGTCCTTCTCAAACTCCTGCGGCATGATGCTAACGTCCACCAGCTTGAAGGGCGGAGGTAGCTCCTTGGCGATGTTTGTGGCCCGGTCCGGGTCTTGCAAGAAACATAGAACCAACTGGCCATCACAATGATTTTGTAGCCATTATGGTAGTTGCAGTTTGTGGCCATTACCAGTGGTCATTGCAAGTGTACATGTTAAGGGGTAGCAGTTTTGTACTACAGTTCAATTCAATTCCAATATTTAAGAGATTTCTTGGAGGAGCTGTATAAGGCATCTGGAGATGACCCTAATGCTTACTAGTCTAGGATTTTCCGACTCGCTCATCGCTTCTCATCGCTCATCGGCGCTTGTATGGTCTGGTGTAGTCCTTCGATTAATTTTTTTTTGTTTCTAGCACCCTCTAAAAAGTTCACGGAGGCAACGTATAACGAGGCGGGAGGTTGAGGTCTGCTCCGGCAGGTTCCGCGATAATTCCAGATGCTCACGAGAGAAGCGCGCCATATTTCAATAAACTTGTTCGATTCATTTTCATTAGCTATCTCGGCCATTATTAGGCCTCTGTCTGAACTTAAGGTCTAATATCGCATGCTTCATGTAACTATTAACTTAAACATGATGCAATCAAGACGTACAGGATTTTTTTTAAAAATTTAGGTTAGGTTAGGCTAGGTTAGGTTAGTTAGGTTATCTTAGTTAAGTTAGGCTAGGTTAGGCTAGTTAGGTTAGTTTTCTGCTCGAGCGCTTGAAAGAGAAAGAAATGTGTCACACTTGTCGTGCCGCTGACTAGCTGCCTCACGGTGGCTTTTCGAGTCAACACAGCTAATGTTGTGAAGATAGAATGTGCTGAAGCTTCTGCATTATTGAAGCAAATGCTAGTGCACCCACAAACCTCCGCAAATATGTATAAAACACTTACGTGCACACGTAAGGAAAGTGATTCGCATTATTTAAACATGGTGTCTTCGCAACAACAGGACCACAAATAAAACTAATGATAGCATAAGTACTTAACAGGTACTAACACGGAAGCTCCAGCCGAAGTTTTTGCATCAATGAAAGGCCAAGCCTTCAAGGGACTGAAAAAATATATATTGCCGAGCTTGAGTACACCCTGAAAAAAAATTATTGGAGCCTGTTTTTAAAGGCTTTGCGTGTTGAGACCCTGCTATGCGTTCCTTAAAGCACGGTTTCCGAGATCAGTAAATGGTGCCATGAAGCTAATCTTGGAGGCCACACTTAAACGTACCATCAAGCCCTGCAGCCCTAGATGGTGCGTCACTTTCAGTCACCGATATCTGCACGCCCGACTTCGGCACGAACAGGGGCACCTTGACGCGCTCGAGGATGCGGCCGATCTCTTGTCGGTCCGTGCAGTTTCGGATGCCGTAGACGGCTGCTCGCAGGTTGGCTGCGGCGACAATGTAGTCCATGTGAAGCTCCTGCGACCGACGCGCATATGACAAGCAAGTGGCAGTTGATCACTGTTCTGCCCTCTAATTCTTGAACCCGACTTCTTTCTTCCCAGCCTGCACACGTATTTCATGCACGTGCGAACAATAACCCCTAAAGGGGTGGTCTGTACAATCGCACACATTAACTTTGCAGACGCCTAAAAAAAAACAAGGCTTTTTTCAAATGCCTTGACACCCAGTATGAACATCATGGAGGCTTCTTCAGTGGGCAGCTAGTGTTCATATAACTTCATTTCACTGGGGTTTGCTGCAGCTAAAGTATCACGTTCCCGGGGATCCTGCCACGTTCGAGGTTCATTCGATGTGCCGCGTTGCAGGACCAACGTCAAGAATATTTTATTTCTTTGCTTTAAACGAAATTAAGAAAAACGAATTTCGCACGTATTTTGCGCCTACTATTGAAATTGTTTTATGCAAAGATACAAGCAGTTTATTTGCAAGCTTTCAACTGTTTAAATAAACATTGTCATTATTACTGAACCCAACTCAAAACAAACCATTCGTTTATTTTATTTCTTGCAATGTAGTACTGGCTGCCTTGTAATCATCCCATGTGAATTTGATGCACTTGCTGACAGTGTCTCATAATTCGCGCCTGAATCGGGATTTATACACACATACAACGTCGGTCTTTCGCTAGTACGTTCATAGGAGGACAATATTCTTCTGCGAGACAAGGATCGCTCTTTTTGGCAGTTAGAATTCAAACCAACTACAGTCAAGGAGCATGCATTTTGTCATCGAGCAGAAATCGAGGAAACTGGAGTTCCTTAAACAAAAGAGTCGGTTAAAAGGCAGTGCGTTCAATTTCGTTAGTTCCACATCTTGTGTGCCAATTCCTGAAATATATTTCTCCGAAAACTAATCTCCTGTTAGATTCAGAGCTACACCAAACACGAGAGCTTTCAAAAGAGAACCGGCCACAGAGCCGGATGAGACAGCCAAGACGCGTACTATTCGTGAGTATTGAGTACCAACTAACTACGAACAATGCGTTGTTAAGTTACATAGAGTTTATGAAACATGTTCGTTCAATGCACGCAGGTTCTCTTTAGCAAGATTGTGTTTTACTAGGTGGGATGAATGGAGACTTCAGTCTCGAATGAAAAACACCGGAACACAACATGGGACCCTTTTATTATGATTTGTTTATGCGCGTACACGCACTTGCTACCATTATTAAGTTACCTGCAAGCCCACAGTCAAAAGGGCTGCAAGTAACTCACCCTCCTCGGCCCTAAATTTGAAAGGGGCTATGTTCCTGAGAGTAGATTAACAGTTTTTTTTTCAAGGCTTCCAAGTGCACATGGATTCGCTATTGTTCAACATAAGAGCGACCGACAGTGCTTCTTCATTTTAGGATCATGAGCGATGTTCTAGACAACAAGCCTTATTACATACCTTATCTATATAACGAATTATCGGTTATAACGAAGTCAGGAATAGCCTGTTAATTGATGCAGCGTTGCGAACGTACTGTTATTTCGAATTCGCTCACACAAGTGAACCATTTTCACACTAGAAATGTGTCTGTTTTATTGGACATTCACTGTAGTACCACCCGATACCAATACAGAATTTACCCTCTGTAAAAGTGACCCCAACTGGAAACACGTCTTGTACAAAACGAGAACTATGTATTCGCACCTCGCCGGCATCAAATTCAATGGGGTGGGGACAACGCTTGAAGCCAGACCAGAATAGAGCACCCGTGGAGGTTTGCTGCGAGTGGAAGAGGAGGAAAGAACATTCACAGAATCACCAGGAGCAGGAAAGACAACAGCTTGCGATGTCATACAAGGTTTTGTGTACGTAGGCATCATCACAGCGAGGCAGAGGTGGTGGCTGACTCGCTCATATCTTTCAAGGGAAGCGCCAATACTGCCCAATTGATTTATTTGGTCGAGCCTGTCCTATCGATAATTGTACCCTGTATACCTTGTTACTTTGACCCAACGTGCTATTTTGTTTTAAATAAATAAATACATTTCGGGGTTACCGCACTACTGGTTTTTGACGAAAATGAAAGCCGAGCTCACGCTATACTTCACTGTAAAAACTACTTACTTTCCAAAGTTGCGCGCGTAAAGGGGGCAGGGGCGTTGCGATAAAACGGATCTCGCCCGTTTTATCAATAAAAAGGACCTCGCCCATGCCTATGGTTGCATTGCATGTCAGATGGCTATGCAGCAGCTTAAAGGCCCCCTAGAATTCAGATGAAAAGGGGTGTTTTGAAACATTCCACAGGTTTCCCTCCCCACGGCAAAATTTTCTTTCTATGGCCGTGGCCAGCATCTGGCATGCATCCGCACAATGGTCTGCGTTGTAGACCAATACTTCAGAGAATTGCAGGTGGAAGCGTGCGCACATGGACTCATATACATTATCCACAGCATTACTATCAGCTTTACCAGGAATCACAGTTACACACACGTCTGCTAACACCTATACAGTGTCGTTCACATACCATTGAAATATTTGTTGATCATAAGCACAAGTTACTTAGGGGGATGCCTTGACCTCCTCCCCTCAACTCTTTCAAAAAAGTTCTTGATAAATGTATAATATGTCGACATATTTTTCAAGAAGAATGACCTTACTAGCACTTATAGCTGGTATTCAAAGGTACTAACTATACCCAATAGTTTCAAAATGGACACCCATTACGTAGGATACCAGTGTTAAAGAGTATTATTACCATTGTCAAAACCGATAATTTATGGCTAACGGACTTATGAGTCGACTCACTTGGATTCACTCAAATTCAGATCAAACAAAGAGGCTAAGTGAGTTCCCCAAAGAAAAAATTCGGTGAGTCTGAGTCCGAGTTAGTGCGAAGCGCAATTTATATTTAATGAGTAAGTCTGAGTGAGCTTCACATGTTTGATTGATATGTGGGGTTTAACGTCCCAAAACCACTATATGATTATGAGAGACGCCGTAGTGGAGGGCTCCGGAAATTTAGACCACCTGGGGTTCTTTAACGTGCACCCAAATCTGAGCACACGGGCCTACAACATTTCCGCCTCCATCGGAAATGCAGCCGCCGCCGCCGGGATTCGAACCCGCACCCTGCGGGTCAGCAGCCGAGTTCCTTAGCCACTAGACCACCGCGGCGGGGCTAAGCTTCACATGTTTCACCGACCTGTGCGAGAGAGTCCTATTTGATGCCCCTGAGAGAGCTATAGTAATCTCGGAAGTTTAACGAAAAGAAGCAAACGCGAAAACAACACGTGGGTTGCCTCACGTGATCCTTCGGAAAGTTGTAGAGGAGCTGCTTGATCTGGTTGCTATACTGGCTTTCGAAGTGGAGCCTGGCCCACGCTACGCAGTCGGCAAATGACCTGGGCCTCTCGTCCACGAGTTCCTGCTTCACGCTTGCAAGGATCTCCACCTACGCAGTACGTTTTGCGACAGTACAGTGCTAAAGAAACTGCCAGGCAAAAGGTGTGCGTGATATAGAGAAAAATTATCACGGCATGAAACATTGCACGAGTTGACGAAATATCATTTTCTCCTCTTGAGTCAATATAAATTATTTTTTTTTATTCTTCTCAGCCTTTAGCGTCAGAACTATAGAAGCTTATTTTATCAAATTCTACATCATGGCTGATGGCCTTGCTCACATCATTTTGAATATTATCCATCAGCGAGTTAGCGAAGCTAATATAGCAATTTCGATTTCCAACAAAACCAAAAACGAGTTGTGTTGTCCCGTTTTACACAATTACCTATAAATTACTAATACGCATTTACGAATGCATTTTGAACTGGAATGTACAGTTCATGAACTAGTGTAATATTGTGTCATTGGTCAACAAAATTTCTAAAAAAACAAAGAGAAAGAGAGCCATCACTCTAGCTCTCAACTCATGTACTGTGACAATTACAATTTTTGTAGGGAAAATAAACCTACGCCACCGACGACAAAAGCTGTCATTAGATAGCCTAATGAGACGGACCCAAGGTACACCCAGCGCCTAGCACCCAAATGCTGTGACAAAACACACACATTTTGAGAGGCGGAGTGAAAAAGGGGAAGCCTTGGCAAAACCTCGAGCAGAGGTTTTGGCAAAATGCTTTTAATATGTATCACAACTGTGGCTAAAGCCGATCGTTGCCTCATTTGAATGTTTGTTATACAAGTATACACTGCGAGGAGTACTACAGTTTACAGCTTATACGTTTTTTACAACTACAATTTATACGTTGCCACTTCCTGTCATTGTTCATTGAGTTCTTATGTGTTTCGTTTGCCGCACAGCTGTCTTTTCTACTTGGCCAATTTTGCTGCTGGACTTTGTAGGAGGCCAGATATTTACCAAGCCACTGACTGTATTGTGGCTTTATTTCCAGCTAACCCCAATTTTTCAAGGAGAAATAAAAACAGATTTATTTATTTATTTATTTGCTTATTTATTTATTGCAGCTCTGAGGGACACTACAAAGCAATCGTTTGATTGATTGATTCATTCATTCATTGATATGTGGGATTTAACGTCCCAAAATTACCATATGAGTATAAGACGCTGTAGTGGAGTGCTCCGGAAATTTTCGACTACCTGGGGACACCACACGGTGCTCAACGCGGTGCCAGCGTACAACGTTTCATTTGTCACTGCCGCAACGCAACAATTTACTAGTGCCAGTGTACATTAGAAGTAATTAGTTGATAACATCAAACCCTATTGAATCAGTGGGGAAACAGAGCTATACGTATTCTTACTCGGCTTATCAGCCCTTACAGCCTGTCACTGGTCCAATAGTGTGAGGAAAGAACAACACACTAAAATATGTCAATGAAGAAAAAAAACAATCACATCTGTTCTGTTCAATTAGCAATGTGAAAATGGCAAATGCTTGCTCGATATAGGATACAAAGATACAGCATGAAATACGCTTCACCTTGTCTAATTCATTGGTGGGCCCGTGTTTATTAGTAGGTAGTACCGCTATAACCTAGGCAGCAGCGATGCGGAGAGATATATTGAACGTAAATACTGACCAAAACTTTTAATTGTTTTACATACAAAAGAGCATCCAACAAAGCTTTTGTTATAGCCTGTGTTGAATTAGCTTATCACTATCCTTATAACAATATAGGGAAAGAAACATCAGTACTTACGGGCTGGTCACTCTGAAGTTTCAACGTGTTCTCCACAAATGTGGGATCTCTAGAAGAAGGGCAAACAAATTGGTAACCTTTACCGTCGTAGCCTTCGAAAAAAAAAGACTAATAACTTAAGTTAGATTCTTTCAATCACCCCCTGGTGAAGCTATGGGAACGGGGAAGAGACACAAAAGAATTTTCAGTTTTACATGTGTATCAATACACGCACCAATATAAAACAAGCAGAAAAATGCGTAAAGTGTGATTGAACAGCACACGAGAAACAAAATAATTCTTGGCTAGGCCCCTGATAGAGAAGGGGATGCGGTAGAAAATTTTTTATGAGAATGTCTATAGCCCATTTTGAAAGTTCGTTTTCGCGTGCAGTTATCTCAGCGTAAAGTCTGCATATGTCACTCTGCCGGTGCTCCGGTTTTAGATTATATGAGCGTAAGTGAGGCGTAGAAAATTATAAGCGAGACAATTGAGCTCACCACACGGCCCACTCAGTGCGGGGGAGCGTGTCAAGTCGTACGCAGCATGAAAAAGCAGCAGTGGAAACCAGTTTACACCCTGAAGAGTGCTTTGCGCGTCTATAACTGGCACCCGCTATACGATAAGGGTGTTTTGGAAAAGCAACACACCCACGTCATGGGAGTTTCGAAGCACCGAAACACCCATGACATGAATGTTTCGGTTTGCCAAAACACTCTTACCGTGAGGTGTAGGTTATGAACATGCAAAGCACCCTCAAGGTTGCAAACTGGTTTACAGTAACAGGATGGCCAGTGAACTTACGGAGGCTGACGTAATACTAGTAATATTATTATGAATACCTTTTATTTCTTCAAAAAAAAAGCAGCTATTATGGCTAGACGTACTAAATCCAAATGGAGGCTTGAGTGGCAGGGCCTTGCAGGCAGAAAACAAATGCAATCGCGTTAATGGCACACTAAAAATATAAGACTGAATACCATGCGCATTAAATCAAAAGCACAGGGCATATAAACAGTAATCATTCCCATTATACAGCAGTCAGAAAAATTAAAAGTGAACAAAAAGCAGAAAACAGTGATACTTCACAAACAAAGTATCTCACTAAATTTTTTGCTCAGAAGTATGCTTGCAAACTAGTGCGTATAATTGTGCGTACACCAGGTGCGCATAACTCGTGAAGACAAACATACTGTAGCCATTTTTTATTTTTATTTCGCCTTTATGCAAAAATGCTTGGGGGCAGTATATTGAAATAACTTGGAACATGATGTGCTCGTGTCGAAGATATATACCTTCCTGAACATCTTGGTCTCCAAAGACGGACTTTGGACCTTAGTGAACGGGAAGTGACATACGTAACTGGAAATTATTTGGACCACAAATGTTTTAAGACAACCGTTTGTAATAACAAATCATCCAAATGAGGCATTACCAGCATTTGAAAAATGTCTCTCTCAGAGTTAATGTTGAGGTCAAAAGATATAATTTTTTTAAAAATCAAACGTAATGTGTACTGTCTAATCCGCTGTCCCATCTAACCGCACAATGTCCGTAAATAGTTATTCCGAAAGGCAGTATACTGTAGCCTAGAGCTCGTGTTATCGTTTTTCGGGCTGAAAACAGCATATAGTATCTTATATTATATAGCAAACAGGACACATACAGAGTCTTTTGCAAACATAAGTGACATGGCTATTATAAGAAAGGCAAACTCGGTCATCAGAGTGTAAGTACTCCCTTCCATTTTTTTTTTGTTGAAAAAAAAAGCGATTTCTGTGCAGGCTGATTTTCTAGGTGGCTTGCGGTATCAGTGCAAGAGAGAGAGAGATAAAGATGCAAGGAAAGGCAGGGAGATATTCTTTGTTTCTTCGAAGATTAACCATTTGCAACAAAGCGCCTATGTGTGCCTAGGTGTTCGTTCATTCCATGCGATGCTATTACCATCATGAGTATAAACAGGGCTTAGACATTAATTCCCTGTTCATTGTTTAATTGCTTATTACAATAGGCACACGAACATCGTGGCGATAAAAATGGCTACAGGTTCATCAATTTGTACTTACTCCAGGTACTTCAGCGCTTCTTCAGGCCTTTGCTTGAACAAGCCTTCGAATTCATCACGGGCCCACTGTGAATAACGCAGACAATGCTTAATATTACATTGCGGGAATATTGATTAACATTTCGCCACATAATGTATCTGATCAGGTCAAAGTGAAATTTCGCTGCAGATAGCGTCTTTGTGGGTCGCCACCTTTCTTAAAACTCTTTTCAGATGTCCACCGACCATTGATAGCTCCGTGTATGCCTTAAGGACGGCAGATGAAGAGACACTTCCGAGTTTGTACGAAAGTTAAAACCTATTATGATATACTATTCAGAACTGCCCAAAATACGCTTCTCACGATAAAAGTTATCACTAGCAATCACGCCACATGAAAAGAAAGTGGCTCAGAAATAGTACAGTTGTATACAATAGGCTTTGCGAATAACTAGGAGCTGTGCGCTATCATAAATATCAGGTAATCATATTCCAACAAACAAAGAAAGTGTATTCAAGGAGTTCTTTCTTTCTCGGTGTATAATAAATATAATATAGACAAAGATGTGAAGTAAACACGTTTCGTGAGAATGGAATTTAATAACGTCCAAACCTCTTTATCACTTCAAATTGCAGTAGTTCTTTCCACAGGCTCATCATGAAGATCTCGTTAGAAAACCTTGACTTATTCAAATGTTAGAAGCTCTTGCGCAAATAACAAATAATAATAAAGTTCCAGGAAATCATCATATCGCAAAACGTGCCAATTTACAGTTTCAGGGCAGTTAAAACAAAAGATCTTTTGAACATTGTCATTAGAGATTCAAGTTTTCCATGCGCTATGATTTCGAACGTCTGTAAAATCTTGTACTGTAACGTCATACCCACCCCATCTGTCATTTCTGTTACAAAAGCTGAATTCAAAGGACGAGGGCATAGTTTGAAAGGGCCGTGCAACACTTTTTCAAGTAGCCATAGAATGGCTTCACTAAGGAAAGTTATTGCTACACGGTTCACTAAGAAGGTTATCGCCGCGCTGAACCACCACAAATTTTTTCATAATCCATCCTGTTGCAGAGGTTTTTCGCATGTTGCAATTGCATTCTCTTTTCTTGTCCCGACGTGAGTGCTGCAAGGTGAACCGAGAGCAATGACACGGGAAAGGAAAATACGCCACTCGCGCCTTGTAACCGTGAGCGCTTTTTCTCTTTTCTTCTTCGAATACGTGGCTTTTCATGGCCTCCCGTGGCCGCTCCTATAACGAACGAGTACGTAATGCTCAAATCAGCCAATAGCTGCTACAACGGCTGTGACGAGTGATATTGAAGTTTTTAGTGTCATTTGTCGAGACAAGAGAAACCAATTTTTAGCAAACTCTCAGAAGTTATTGTAAATTTCAGGCAGCGTGCCATTCTATAATAATTGGCTTGCGTGTTCTCGGGAGACTCGACACCCGACAGCCTGTGCTTTCTGACCGACAAAGTGTTGCAGGGTCTCTTTCATGGTTACACACAGTCACCAGCATAACGGCCGCTCAAATGGTGGTTAATGAAACCACAGACCTGCAACGTGTGCTCGATGGCATTGGGGAAGTGCTTGAGCGTGCAGATAGGGATGGATTTCTCGGGCGGGTCGTGCGAGGAGGAGTACGACTCGGACAGGCGGGGAACCACCACCTGGACGTTGCCCTTGGTACCCAGATTCGCTCGCAGGATTTCAAGCTGGACGGTTGTGCCCTCGCGATCTCCGACTTCAGCGTAGCTCCCGCCGACTGGTTCGCCCTCCGCGGTCTCCTGATGCCGTGTAGCTCTCGCATTGTGGCACCCCGCCCTTGGACTGCTTCGACCGGATCCCCACTTTCCTATCTCCTTCTTTTTCCTCTCGTTGGCTGTCTTCTTCTGCTTCTACTTTCCTTCTATCCTTTTTATCCCTCCTTAACCCCACCCCTATAAGGCACTGCGCCGTGTCGCCTGAAGGCAGACAGAAATTAGGTGCCTTTTTCCTCTTCATTGTAACCACTACCACCACCTTGGTACCCAGCGTACCCGACTCGAGGAGGGGCTTGTTCATCTGGACGCACCGGAGGTCGATGTAGGTGCCTACGACGACACCGGAGTGATTCAATCCGGTGCGTTTACCATATTTATTTATTTTTATTTATTTATTACATACTGCGGACACTAAGTGGTCCAAGCAGGAAGGGCAGGTCACGCATACCGCAGGCGTAATGACGTACATTATACGAAAAACACACTTTGTTTTACACGCTACAATACACTTCGTTATTTAACAACATCACGCTTCGCTCTGTACACTACAATAAACTTCAATATGCAAAGCAACAACACACCCGGTTCTACAACACTACATTACACTATGTTCCACAACACAAGTAGTAACTTACGCCAAACAACGACAATACATTGCATACCTTATACTTTACAATACGTTACACATACGTTACAATGAATGAAGTTCGCATAGCTTGTTCCAGTCCGACACTGTTCGCGGAAAAAAAGAATACATAAAGGCATCGGTTCTCGCAAAAAATGGGGTTAGCAAAATGGGATGATGATGTCGTGTGTTTCTTGTTGACAGAAAAGATAAGTAAGGCGATGAATCGATTGCGAGTTTTTGATTAAGTAATAATTGAAGGAAATCCAGCCGTTGTTCGCGTCTGCGGGATTCAAGGGTCTGAATGTCGTTTGCAGACATCAGCACGGAAGGTGAATCCGACGGTGAGTATTTTGAATATATAAACCGAACAGCTTTCCATTGAACCGCTCAAGTTTGTTAATATTAAGCTTAGTGTAAGGGTCCCATACAATGCTGGCGTATTCCAGTTTAGGTCATATAAAAGAATAATAACTAAGAAGCTTTACATTGGCAGAACAGGTACGCAGTTTATGTCTTAGAAAACCAAGTTTCCGAAAGGCAGCTGAACATATGTTGTCTACATGCATGTTCCAAGACAAATTACTAGTTATAGTTAGGCCCAAATATTTGTAGCTTGTAACCTCTCTAAGAGTTGAAGACCCAAGCTGGTACGTATTATTTAGTGGAACTTTCTTACGTGTCAAACGCATGCAGACACTCTTTTCTGCATTAAGGATCATTCCCCACTCATTGCACCACAGATGAATATTATGAAGGTTTGAGTTAAGTTCATTTTGATCATCTAAAGAGTTAATATCCCGGAACAAAACACAATCGTCTGCAAATAATCGAATTTGTGCAGAAGGGGTGATGACATTTACAATATCATTTATGTATAAAAGAAAAAGCAATGGCCCTAGGACGCTTTCTTGGGGTACACCTGATGTGACCTGTAGAGACTGCGAACGCTGGTCATTAATAGCAACAAACTGTTCACGGTTATTTAGATAGTCAGCAATCCAGTTTACAAGGATTTCGGGAAGGCCAATACGTTTAAGTTTCAAGATCAATTTGTCGTGTGGAACCCTGTCGAATGCCTCACTGAAATCCAAAAATATTATGTCAGTTTGCCTGTTGTTATCCAGGTTAAGTGCAAATGAGTGGATTATTGTAACTAGTTGCGTCACTGTCGAATATCCCTTTCTAAAGCCGTGTTGAAAATTGGTCAGGATTGAATGTTGAGTCAAAAAATTTCCAGTTTGTGTAGCAATTATGTGTTCTATTAATTTGCAGCAGGGTGAGGTCAAGGATATGGGTCGGTAATTTTGAGGCGACAAGCGATCACCTTTCTTAAATACAGGACTTATGCGTGCGGCTTTCCAGTCACATGGTAGCCTTGATGACAACAATGAAACACGGAAGATTTCATGCAGGAATTTAACGACATGTTCGGCATATCTTCTTAGGAACACATTTGGGAGATTATCAGGTCCACAGGACTTTTTAAAATTAAGATTCAGAAGCATCAAAAAAACACCAGAATAAGACACAAAAGAGACTTCGCATGGGTCGAACACTCTACCGTTTGGAACATAAACACTAGAGCCGGCAAACACACTTTGAAAATACGCATTAAGATGATCAGCAATCTTTCTTTGATCGGTTACAATCACGCTATCAATTGCCATTTCGGTGAGAGGTTTCTTTCTGTCACCAATGTAGTTCCAGAATTTAGTCGGGTCAGTTTTTATGAAGTTGGGCAGCAGCGTCTTAAAATAGCAATCTCTGGATGAGCGTATAGCCCGTGCAAGGCTGTCTTTGAGGACTGAGAGGGAACGAGACTGCGCATGCTTCTGCCTTAAGCGTTTTATCTTTCGTTTTAAGTGAATTATATCTCGCGTTATCCAGGGAGTTGTTTTGTGCACTTTTTTATGTTTATTCGGTATAAAACGATTGATGCAATGATGACACATTTCTTTAAATTGATTCCACATTGTCTCGACATCGCCCACCTCAAAGACAGCAAAACACGACTCCATGTATTCTAATATAGATACGTCATCTGCTCGCGGGTAATCTTTGAAGGTACGCACTGAAGATTTTGTATTACGTATACGCCCACCAACTGCGTATATACTTAAACTTACGTATGTACGTGTACTACTATAAATTTATACGCACAGGCGCTGCGCACAAGTGGCTTAGCCTGAAAATTTTGAGACGTTGGAAGGAGAGAGGGGAGATGTGGAAAGCCGGTTCACCCAACGTGTTTTAGCAGAGGGTCGAAAACATCAAGGGTAACGCCTGATTAGCATTCAAGCAGGTAAAATAATAGTTTTTTCACTTCACGAGTTCGAGTTCTGTTATACGACTTGTAACCTTGTTATCGAGAAACAGCATAATAACAATTTCTGTTATGTACTAAATATGCTTTTGTGACGAAAATTAGAAGAATACACTGTTCGGCGATTTGGCAGTTCATATCTGTATATATAACGCAAAAAATGAGCCACAACAAGAAGAAAACTGCAAGGCTGGTACGTCTATGAAGTCTTGGAATTCTAATGACACGCTCGCTTCAGATGTGGATTAGCCTACAGGTGCACGATTTTATATGCATGCATGTATACGTACCTGTAAACTCAAAAATTAATTGTGGCTGAAAGTGGTGGACAGTTGGGCAATAGAACTAAAATTTCGATAACAATTTTACAGACCACATTTCAGATTACAGTAGAGCCCCACTGTAACGTTCCTCTTCGTCACGTTTCCTGGCTGTTACATTGTTTTACGGCGGTCTCGGTACAGCTACCGCTCAAATGTAATGGGAACCCTGCTGTTACGTCGCACCTCTGAGACCTATCCCGTTAGATAGGTGGTTGTGTGTCCTCCGAGCCAGCATGGGATTAAGCAACACTGCGGCCATATTGACTTTTAACGCCAGTTGACTCCGTTTGACCATCAGATTACGTAAATGAGAGACGCAAATAACAAAAGCTTAGCGTTCAAGATACAAACCGAAAACATGGCGGCTGTGACATAATTGCTCGCGAAAGTAAGGCCTTCGACAATGGCATTTCCTTTCGTCATTGCGTGGGCCAGGGCCAAAGTTATTCGGGGAGGAATTGAAACTAGTTGGGGTTGCGCGGTTCGACTCATCGTGCAGGTGTTTTCGTGTGCGCTTATTTCTTTCCCGCCTGCATTTGATGCTGCCACGATAGTTACATACGCACGCTGATCACAGAACTAAGAATGATGCCGTTCCCAGCATAGTTTCCTTGAACTACCCAGAGGGAACTCTCGCACTACGATCCCTCAGCAACGATGGGGTTTATGGATAGTACATGGATTGGCCTAGTCTTCGTGCCTTTGGGTTGTGAACCCACTTGTGGCTTCGTTCTTGCAATGGTCCCGTTTTGTTTATCAGAAAAAAAGATACTGATATGAACTTCGTGACCCGATTTGAATTGATGAGCTAAAAGGATTATGTTGTTAAAATGGGTTAAGGCTGATTGTCGTTTCGCGACAGAGTCGCTCCAAGCCACGCGAAGCCAAACGAACCCTATACAAAGATCAGGCAAATCCATGTACTACCCGTCATTCCCATGCTCACCGAAGCGCCAGGCGTCGCAGCTCCCACATACACTAGCGCCAAAGTTCCCTCTAGTCTAGTTATAAAAAAACTTTCCCAGCTCCCCGTTTCATTCAGTCGGTTTAACTGTTTCCGAGTGCGCCACTGCACGCACCAATGACGAAATTCAGTCGATGGTGCCGGGAAGACAATCACGTTATGGGGGTGCTCTCACATTCACGAGGCTTTCGACTGCCTAGTATGAGCCATGGCTGTACGACACTACACGAACAGTGCTACGTCATCGCCTCAAGATGTCTGCGCACGTGGGCAGTGCCACAAGTATAGTACACAGAAAAAGACAGGGCGCCGACCAAGGACTTGTCGAAAATATAATAAAAGACGTTTCGGCTTCCCCACGAGAGCCTTGTTCACTAAGCTGAGAAGCTGAAGCTTATAGCTTAAATAAGCTAAAATAATCGCTTGCGGCATTTTGCATACGTCAGAGGTAGATTGCTGGCGTCCGGCGTTCGGGTTGAGCGTGTTGCTCGTTGTCTGGATACCTAAAGATTCCAGATATTGCAGTTTTGTGCAGTTCTTTTCTCGGACAATAACGGAAGCACGGTGCCAGTCGAAGCAGTGGTGCATTTTTCCTGCGTGCTCTGTGAGAGCGCTTTTACCGAGGAAGAGGAAAGCTCTCAACGTCTACCTTTTCTTTGCGTAGGGGTACAGCAATACCGACAGCGTCCGTCTTTCAGTGTTCATAGGAAGGACACACACAGCGGGCGGTATCTTCATTTCGCGTCGTTCAACCCTGTAAGCCACCAACAGTCTGTGACCTTTTCTTAAATAAGAAGGGCTTGAAGAATTCGCACTAATCTAGATGACTTCGACTCAGACCCAGCATGCATCCGACGTGAACTTTGACACCCTCTTCGTCTGCATCCTGTCTTTTTCTGTCGACTGTGCCATTTCTTCCCGACCAGACGAGATTTCGACCAATTAGCGACTTCGGCGCCACAAGTGATCGCCTGCCAGGTGTCGGGCACAGTGGCCTTATATTTAATAAACAGACATGACTTTGCATGTTCTCCGAAAATGAATCTTGCTGCTCGAGCAAAAGTGTAGACTCCACGTAACTTTGCATGGTTTTTTTTATAGCGTATAAGCAATGAAGTAAACTTCTGCATCACTAAACATTCTCCGTCTTCCTCGGTTTTCGCGTATCGCGGCTGTGAAGGTTGTATGTTGAGATCTTTTTAAAAACGTTGAAGAGGGTCTCTATACTGCCCAGAAAACATGTGGAACACCCAACCAGAACGTAAAACGACTGGGTGAAGAACCCTATGTTCTGTTTCCTGCTCCTTCTTAGTTGTTCCCATTTTCACATTACCGGGCACTTACAAAATGCTGGATGACGCTTCAGCTTTGCCTCAAGCCTCTAGGACTGAATCCAAGAGTCGGGCACAGTAGTATCAGCAATGGCACATGCACAGTAAAGGTGATCACGCCGCACACTATATTGAACTGCGTCATATGCCGTTTCTCAACTGAAAAAGAGCCGACTCACGGGAGTCGACATTGTCTAGCGCGTTGGCCACTCCGTCCAGGGTACCGAAGAAGTCGTCAGTGTAGATGTGCTCGGAGTCAGGGCCAACACGGTGGCAATTAGAGATAATTTTCACCTCTGGGTTCATTCTGGCCACGGCCTTCGCTGCAGTAACAGACTTCAGTTGCTGGGGAAAGAAGAAATGATTAAGGAAATTCGATTGCCATTCTGAAAGAAAATGTATCGGTAGTATTGGCTGACTACACGAGTGATTGTTCTAACGTGTAGACGTTAGAACGTCTAGGGGAAGTCACTACATGCAAGTAAATAGTGGTGATTCTTGGCCAATGGCGATGTATACTTGGATATTGGCGGCTAAATAGGGAGTCGGGATCGTAAGACTGCTGGCATGGAAACCACCGCTGCTTTCATTAGTGAATACAGAAACGAGACGGCAAACAAATTGGGGCACCTTTAAGCCCCACCTCTAAAAGTTGAACACGATAGCGATATTTTTTTCCTAGTGCGTACCCTTAAATGTTAGTGTATGAAATTCCTTCGAACTTGCTATGCACCCACTACGTGGTCTTATGGGTGCTGTAGCGTGAGTGCCTTTTGTAGTGGGCGACTGGCTCTAAACTATGAAGTCTATTTATTTATTTATTTACAATACTGCTAGCCCTTGCGGGCTGTAGCAGGGGTGGGAGGTGAACAGGTGAACAATACACAAACAATGTTAGGCAAAAAACAAGTCCAGCCGTCGTTGAAAATCTTGTGAGGATCTACATCCTGTAAGTACCTCGGGAGGAAGCGCATTCTAGTCAACAATAGATCGCACCAGAAACGAAAACTTAAATACATCCACCCGCGGTACATAAGCTTGGACAGAAAATAAGTGATTGGTACGAGCCGACACTCGTCCTGGGGGGCGCAGGTATACACTGGGATCCAGCTTGTAGTTCTTATGATACAGGTCATAAATAAATTTTAAGCGAGCTATTTTTGTACGTGTAGCTAACGATTGAAGGTCAGCCCTAGCAAGCAAAAGTGATACAGACTGTGTTCTCATGTAATTTGAATAAATAAACCTCGCGGCCAATCTTTGTACTCGTTCAAGTTTGTTAATTTCAGTTTTAGTATGCGGATCCCAGATGATAGCTGCGTACTCCAGCGTTGGTCTAACAATAGTCTTATACGCCAACAATTTAACAGAGGGCGTTGCATTACGAAGTTTCCTTCTCAGAAAACCCAGCTTTCACTTCGCCAGTCCTGTAATGTTGTCAATATGATTGTCCCACTTTAAACTGCTGGATATAGTAACACCTAAGTATTTAAACTCATTAGAACTCTTAATTTCTCTATTGTTTATTGTGTATTTATAGTTAAGGGGGGGTTTTTATTTGAAATTGTCATGCAAACAGTTGTATGAAAATTAATTTTCATGTCCCATTTTTCACACCAGTTGTCAATACATCGAAGAGCATCATTGAGGAGCATTTGATCAGAAACACTTTGCACATGACAAAACAAGAGACAATCATCTGCATATAACCTTACATCAACAAAAGGAGGCACAACCGTTGCAATATCATTCACATAAATTAAAAAGAGTAGAGGTCCCAACACGGAGCCTTGTGGCACACCTGAGGATACGCGTAAAAGAGAAGAACGTGCGCCACTTATTTCAGCAAACTGCAACCTATTGCGCAAGTACGCTTCAACCCATCTTACAATTGCGGGATCAATACCAAGTATTAACATTTTTTGAATAAGTTTCGGGTGACATACTCTGTCAAAGGCCTTAGAGAAATGAATTGCTATGACATCGACTTGTTCTTTTGAGTTTATCGCTGTAGCGAAAGCATGAACAGATTCAAAAAGCTGAGTGACGGTTGAAAGGCCTTTTCTAAAACCGTGTTGCTTATTATAAAACAGATTATTGTTTTCTATATATTGAAATATATATTTTGAAATTATATGTTATATTACTTTGCACGCCGTGCATGTGATAGAAATTGGACGGTAATTACAAACATTAAGGCGGTCACCAGCTTTGAAAATGGGCGCAACTCTTGCTAATAACCAATCAATCGGAACAGCGGCAGTACACAAACATAAATTAAAAATTTTAACTAAGAAACTAGAAACCCAATCAGAGTAGCACCTCAAAAATTCGTTGGGAATCATATCCGGACCAGGTGATTTTTTATGATCCAATTCAAGCAGTAATGCCATTACGCCCTCTTTAGATACGGTAAGAAGATTGGAACTAGTATCATCGAACGTACAGCCTTTTTTTTTTAATGATCAATACTCTGCGAAAAAACAGTACTGAAGTAATGATTGAGTGCTTCGGCAATCTGAATCGGTTCGCTATAGGAGGTCCCGCCTATAGAAAGCCCAGTTATTTCAGACTGCGAACTAGACAGGTACCGCCAAAATTTCTGGGGAGAGTTGGATATGTATTCAGACAATATATTAGTTAGAAAATTACTTTTAGATTGCTTGACTTCTCTTCGTACCTGAGCACTAATGTGAGCAGTAACAGACGAGTTTCTTGGTATTTTCTGACGGGCGCGACATAGTCGCCGTTTTAGGTGAATGATACTTCTGGTAATCCATGGGTTAGCTTTTGCAGTTCTCTTTTCTCTTTGGGGAACAAAACGTGACAAACAGTCGTTTACTACCTTCTTAAAGGTAGTAAAGTCGTTATGAAAATCCCATGTTCTGACGCCCGATGGCAGTGTACGCCTGTACCACGCATTATTACGGCAATATTTAATGTATTGTGAAGCATGTATACAAAGCACCTGTGTTTTTAAAGCATGAAATGTACTTTTACTGCACTTTCAAGCAGGGGAAGGTATTTTCCTCGAATTCTCAAGCGGAAGCGGGGATTTGCAGTAAAACAGCCGCTTCCAACGCAGACCCAGAATTTTTCAACATTTTATTTGCACCTTTTCTATATTTTTTGGTCACGCAAAGATGATTTTTCGTTCACCACCAATAAAGCCAACTTCAGTATTTTTTGTGAAACGAGCTTTTTAATGCTATTGCGTTAAAATTAAACTGAAGTAACTTAGTCCATCAAACGGTTATGAAAGCCTTAAGGGTCATGTGCAACTTACTCGTCGCACATTTATTTGCAGACCACGCTGTCGTGGTGTAGCAGTAATGGGGCTCGGGTGCTATGCCAGAGGTCCCAGGTTCGATTCCAGCCTCAATGGTTACATTTAGATGGAGCTAAAGTGCCTTAGTGACGTGTGCTGTGTGACGTAAGCGTGCGCTAGGACACACCAAATGGTCTACATTTGCGCAGCCCTCCACTACGGTTTCCCCTACATAATCATATCATGCTTTTGGCACGTAAGACGCTTGATGCTAATATCACGCTTCAGTGACTACTGAATGATATGTTCTGTTGGACAACGAAACAGACTGCCGAGTAAGACACATCTTGTCCTCTTTCATCAAATTGTATGCCTCAGCACTTACAGCACACCACTGATGCTATCTTCACAGTCTTGAAGGTTTTACTTTTTTTGTTAGCACCCGCAGGAATTCACCTAAGCATTACATATGCATGCATTATTTGTCGCCATGACATTGCTGCTAGCAACCCTGTAAGGTAATACTGTCGCCTATAGCCTTGGAGGCTGTCTGAGAAGCCAGAGATTTTGTGTCGGGCTTGAGTAGTGTCCTCCTGGCAAGTAGTGATAGGGGTGGTTTTTCTTTTTCGTTAGACCACTAAAAAGATTGCGTCAAACACAAGAAGAGCTCCAGCATATCACAAAATTCGTTATTGACATATAAGTGAAACAATAGACATGGTAAGCACATTGCTTTTTAGTCTGCAATAACCAGTAATCTGCTGCAGCAGTATTCATTATATCTAGGCCCTAGTGTGTTTCAGCCTCAAAAATGGCTGTTTTCAGTATCTCATAATTAAGCGTTTGTCTGTATTATTTGAAATCATATTATCCTAAACGCAGGTTTTTAAGTAGCACTATTTTAAATTTCGCTTTTCATACAGCTGAAACAGGACTTTGTATGCTTCTAATATTATACAGAGCAGTGTGGTAAGTGATTGCAGGTACTGTAACAAGGGAAGGCGCCTAGACAATTAAAGCGGCCGATTCATACTCACACCAACGTCCCACGGTCGGAATAGAAACTGCCGGTTCAGGTTGGAGCGCTCAATTATGTCCATATCCGTGACGTAGACGCAGCCACCACCCGTGCCCAGGCCCATCATAGCGAAGTTTTTGAGCAGTTCGCAACCGATTGCCCCCGCACCAACCTGCGTTTGAATGTACACTCTTGATCACGTACCTCATAATGTGCTAGTTATGACCGGGAAACTAGATGAAAAAAGGCGTAGTGTCCTAAATATATCCTGCACTTTTTGCAAGACATCATTAGGAATGTAATGGCACTTGTACTCCTTTCTTTCCAGTCTCATGTTACCGTCCCTACGCGAAGTCACTGCTGCCTTTGCGCTAAACCCGCCCAATCGATGGGAACTGTCTAGATAATTTGATAACTGTCCGATGAGATTGCGTAATCAACGCGAACATTAAAGTCAGTTCTGGCGCTTACGTGCCGCTAGCGATAACGCAGCAATTTTCGACGATCACTTCAAGTTATAGAAGCCGATTCACTTAACCGCTTGTCAGTTTTTCGACGCCAACTCCCTGTTCACCGTTACAGTGTACCACGTGCATTTCTAGCTTGCAATTTAAGTTTTCTGTTTTTCCACCATAAGTTCGGGCAAATAAAAACTCACGTACTTGCAGTTCTGCTGCAGTTTTCTGCACTATCACGACGACACGACAATACTTCGATATACTCGACACCGAAATCGTCGGTGCCGTACACTCAAACAGTCGGAAAACCTGCTTCCGCTAATGAAGCTAACTCAAGTACGATGTATAGGTGTGCTAATCAGTATTTCGTACAGCGCAAATGAATAAGTGCATCAAGAAGGCAGACATAATTGTGCTCTGTGTTAACTCTTTTGTCCAGCGTCTGTCTCTTCACGCTCGAAGTCTTCCACGAGTACCAAAGGGGAGAGTTTTTTAACGGCTTGTTAAGGCCATAATGATTCACGGTGGGCGACGCAGTTGTATACGAAAACCTCGATAGAAAGGTGCCAATGAACTTCGCCCAGTTGCACTTACCACTTTTTAATAACAGATCAAAATGTTTTCGTTGTAGCTGATGTCAGAGTACCAACGATCCTCATCTAAGACCTTGGGCTTCGATATCACGCCCTTATCGTTCATCATGACCTACATAGAACAAAGGAGCGAATACCAATCCTCATCTCTACATAATTATGGTTGAACTATACTCACCAGAAAGTACTTCTGTGACGCTAGTTTCTCCTGCACATCTGCTCCAAAGACGCATGCTTGAGCAGCATACCGCGTCTTTGCCTGGGAAAAAAAAAACGCGACAAATTAGGAGTCTTCGCATATGGTTACAAAAGTTACAACCTGCACTGAATCTTGCGCTGTATATCCGTCTCTTATCTGTATTGGTCATAAGCCCTCAAACTGCATGAGCTGCACTAAGTTTTATTCTGAAGGTCAAGACGTGACCCAAGTTTCATGGGTAGGGCCCAGGATTAACTTCACAGCCCATATGTAGCCTCAGCTGCATTAGCCACTAATATACCCCAACATTCGGGGGTCACTTGCACAAGTTTTTTTTTTTTCACACAGTTTTTTTTGCTGTCTTCATCACTAATACTATATATTTTTTTATTATTTTCTATATATGTTTCCATAGTAGCCTTGTTTAATCATTCTTACCGTGGTTTTTACGTGTTTTGCTGATTTGTTCATGCATTACGTATATGGTATGCTTCTGTTCAACCGCTGTAACTGCTCATTTTACGAGGCGGCCAGGTTTCCCCAAGCTGCTCAATCCAGCTTTCTTGCCCGATCTCCTGGCAACCTTCTTGCAAAACAAACTCAATTAAATTTTATTTACCGATATTCGACTGCCGCGTATGCCACCCGTATTCGATACTGCACGTGCCACAATATTCACGGATGCGAGCAGCCGTAGTTTGATGAACCGCGAGAATGTAATTAACATTCTCATGGGTTACCTGAACGAGTATCCAAACCTTCATTGGCTGCGCACGGCCCGAACTCGAGCGTTGCACAGCCCTGTCATTTCAAGTGGGGCAGCACCTTATTTTCCTATGTCACATGTACATCAAATCTAATGTGTGAAGTATTGAACCGCCTCGAACTACAGGTTCTCAATTATTAATGTTGATGCATAATGTAAGTGCAAGAAAAACAACGCAAAAGACGGAGCTCTACAAAAAAAAAAAAAAACTGCCAGGCCTGCGCGCAACGCGCATCACAGTCACAGCGAATGCTGAAAGAGCCGCCTTTCAGAGCCTTTTCTTATCTCTCTTTCGGTAACTGCTACAAGCACGCTTGCTGGGTACCCACTACGCCATAAATATTCACGATTAACGTGTAGTAGGCCGGCAATCACTATGCTATCGTTCGTCATGCTTCGGAGAAGCGTAGTATCTGCTAAACACTTGCAAGGAATTTTGTGCCAATTGTTCAAGCAGTGGCTGACGACGATGAATAGTTTTGCGTGAAGTTGGTATACGCCTCAGTCAAAATGTGATCAAGAACCAGTTTCCTGATGCTTTGGAGCATTCGACGACCCAATTGTTACGCAATTCATATTGTGTGACGCCTGGTTGTTTCTTTAATATTCTAAAATGCTCTATTACTCATATTAACGCGATTCCTTTCCCGACACCAAGCCTGCCTAAATCAAGTCTGCAAGCGAGTTCCAAGCACCGACGTGATTCAGTGGTAGAATACTGGGCTGGCACGCAGGGTACTCGGGTTTTAATCCCACTGTGTCCTTTGTGCTTTTTATTTATTGAGTTATGTTTTTTTATTTCGTGCAATCTGGTTACAGACACCGGCGGCGGTTGGTGCCGGACAACTAAGGCGCCGAACGTGACCCGTCTTGTGATCTGATAACAGATTTCGCTGTAAAGCCGGTGTGTACGCTAGTGCCCATTGCTCCCGCTAGAAGCGCAGCTGTGCTCTTCGTTTCAAGAGCGCTTACTAGATGGCGCGCCGCTAATTAGGTGACTCGTTCCATGCTCGGCACGTGCTCTAGTTTGGTTGGAGACCACTAGGTGGCCGCGGCGCGCTTCCTTTCTCTTTCGCCAAACATCATCCAGTGCGTGTCGATACCGCTAGTTGCAGTGAACACCGCTCAAGCTGAGGTGGCGACGTGGAGGGCTCGCAATGCGACTGCAGCGTGGGCTCGCCATGGGGACCCTCCTCAAACTTTCCACTACATTCTCTATTTCAAGATAATCTGGCTTTGTACTTTACGGATCACAAAGCCATTATACCAAAAGGAAAACGTTCCTCCGAGCCTAATGTGATCCGTGAATAGGCTCTTGATCAAAGTGTATACACTGCGTCAGTACGCAAATATCTGGATATAGTACAGTCATATGTAAACAATAAACAGTGTGTGTATAACGTGTATATACAATCACACCAAAACAAATCTCGTGTCACGTCTTAAATGGTGATGATTGAGTTGATGCACAGAGGACTGGTGGTTTACCGGATTTAACCTATGGAGCGAGCTTCATCATTCACTTCGTAGATATGCGGCAACCATTTAACAATGATTTTCATAATCGATGAAGTTCTTTACCAAAGGACGTGTCTTTCATTGAAAAGTGTTGGGTAGAGAATGGACAATTTAGCTGAGTAAAAATCGGTATAATGGAAAGAAGTCTTCTTAGGCTAGTGAGGAAACACCAATAAATAAGATAATAAAACGCGAACTCACCAACGCATTCGCACTTCTTTCAGTGATGTCACCCGTCTGCGGAAGGCACTCGAGAGCATCAAAGTAGAACCACTGTTGGATCGGCATAAACTTGCTACTGCAAGCCTGAACAAGTTAGAAAGTAGGTAATCACTAATCGTGGTAACCCACGAGTGAATCCAAATTCATATGTAGTCATCTTCCACTGAACAACTAGTGTACAATGGTGGGACCCAGCGCACACTGAAAACTTCATCTGAAGTACGAATCAAGTTCCCATATGAATTCTATATCTGTCATGCTTTACAGCTATTCTAGTTAAGCGGAGAAGTACCAATCACGGCAAGCGGCATGCACCCTTTCAGATCTCACCCTGCCTAAAAGCGCGCTTAGAACTTATTAGGTACTAACTACCGTAAACTGCAACTTCGCATCACGTCAAAATAGTGATATTTGTACAAGCCCACAGAAGTGTGTACAATGCAATGAGCACACAGACATCCCCAAACACTGCGCTGTAAAGCTTCAGACGTTCTTGTGGCATTATTTATTATGCATTAGGTTCTTCAACTTAAAGGGACACTAAAGAACAAAATGATTTTCCCCGTATTAATAAAGTACTATTGCACAATTCCTAAAGCAACACTCTCACCACGCCACGACGCATAGTAAAGTAGAAAAGTCGCGAAAAGGAAATGCGGGTCGCGATGGATTCCCGCACCAAACACCATGACGTCAGAAATTTCGAAGGCGTCTATTGGGTCCTACGTATCTTCCAGTCAATAAAAATAAAGTACACTCTGGTTAGCATAGAATCAGCATATGAAGTTTGAGCTGATTTTATCGGACCAATGCCAGAAAAATACCAGAAATACAATTTCAAATTTCCCACGTCACGCGTGATTTCGGCGCAAATTTTTTAAAGTAAAGTTCAACCTGCATTCTTTTCGACTAATACTCAAGTTATGATAGTGAAACATATAACATTAGAGTTCTCGGATTGCAGTTTGTGAATATAAATGAAGCCATTGCTCCTCCTTTAGTGTTCTTTAAGCAATCGTCGTTTTTAAAGCCCACTGCATAAGAAGCCATTGAAAACTCTTGGTTTTTACCTTGAACGCAGTTATTTGAAAAGTCAGAGCCGCTTTAAAGAATGACGTTGGTTTGGCAAATCATTTTTCCAGCTGGGCTTTACTTGCTGGTTGAACTGTCACACATTGTGCTTTTATAAATGAAGGAACGAGAATTCTTTTCGCTGTAGTTTTGACGTTTCTAGAAAACAATAAAATTTGTGTTTAGCTTGATAAACCGGCGTTATATTTTTGTACAAGGATCAATGAGGTACGCGTGCTTCATTCGCAAAGTTTAGATTTTTCAGAAATATCCTTCCTGGCAGAATGATATATTTTTGCACTATCTGCATTTTTTATTACTTTCGAACGGGGTGCCAATACAGAAATTAAAAAGAAACTTTACTAGCACTTCACCTTCTTTATTACGTTGAAAATGCTTGACTCCTCAATGCCGATCGTAACGTTGAATAAATAGTATAATAATAATAATAATAATAATAATAATAATAATATAATAATAATATAATAATAATAATAATAATAATAATAATAATAATAATAATAATAATAATAATAATATAATAATAATAATAATAATAATAATAATAATAATAATAATAATAATAATAATAATAATAATGACGCTTAGAAGAAGACTACACTCGCCTCCATGTCTTACTTTTTTCTGGTGAATCACAACATTTATTTGTCGCGCTGACCCTTGGATTTGCTTTCACCGTGTTTACCTATATTTTCTACGAAAGTCATTTTCCTTCACCGGGGAAAATGGCACTTGTTTGTCTTTTGAGCTCTCGTCTGCATATTACCTCGCAACGATTCTCGCTTGAAAGATTTATAATAAATAGAACTTGAAAATGAAATACTCAGTATGCGAGAGAATATCGGTCACCTGCCATCTTGTCAATGGATCAGGTACTACGTGACGCCAAACAGGCAAGTAAGAGTGTTCCGCACTCGTCCTAATGGCAACAGGTGGCACTGACTGACGCTTCCACGTTTAACTGCACATTTGTACCCCATAATGTAGACAGGGAGATGACCACCAGCGTAGCTCAGTGCCAGAGCATCGCACGTGTTATTATAAGATAACAGGATTATATCCTGCTGATGGTGGCCAGGTGTCTTTTCGTCCACTTGTCTATTTTTCACATTTGCACTGCTACTACTACCTTCCCTGCTTTCCCCTCTCTCATTTTCCTTCCTTCATAATAACAACCCCCATACTTTCCATGGCATTGCCTGTAAGTTATCAATCATATCGTTTCTTTAGAGCAACTCAAATCTGCTCTCTGATTTAAATCTGCCATCTGAGAATCTGCCTCCTGATTTGGATCAGGAGGGTTTAAGTATTTAAGAAAGCTGGCTGGCGCGCTCCTTGCCTTCATGAGTTCCTGGGCAGCAATGCCTCCGATGACCGCCTGAATGGGACACAGGGAGCCAGCCGACACGCAGGCCATCGTGGTCAGTAGCTTCTCGTCCAACCCCGCCAGGGGCGAGGACATCAGCTCATTCTTCGCTTTGGCCATGCGCACCACCTCAGCTGCGTCCTCCTGCACCGAATAAATGAAATTTGGGTCGCTCAAGCACACCGAATTCTCCGTAAACAGGAATCACCGACACTAAATGACCACGTAGTTGAAACAGCAGTGCCCCAACCGGTTGTGTTCGGCATCAGCCACACAGAGAGGTCGAGGGGTGCAGTCCTTCATTACACGACGACAATTAGCTAGAGGAGACTGCGGCACTGAGAATGCCGGTAGTACATCCATTTTTACAGTCCTCGTGCTTCCGTACTTTCAGTGCACATGTGACTTTGTTTACTGCAGTGTTTTGGTTTTATTTCCATTAAAATAACAGATTGTTTTGAACTTCAAGACCCGATTTGAAACAGGGAGCCTAAAAGGTCAAGGTGGTGAAGTGAAACTGGTCAACATTTTCCTATTTCCGTTTGGTGAGAAAGCAGCTGCAACCCTCGCGAAGCCAAACGGAGCCCAAAGTGCGCAGGTCAGACAAACTCATGACTGATATGTGGCGTTCAACGTCCCAAAACCACCCTATGATTATGAGAGACGCCGTAGTAGAGGGTCCTGGAAATTTCGACCACCTGGGGATATATATATATATATATATATATATATATATATATATATATATATATAGTCATGCTTTTGGAGTGGGCGTAGTAAGTAGTCAAGTATATCCTCCGTGAGCAGTCACAACGTGGTTTATTTCGACGTTTCAGCCTCAGGAATGAGGGTGCAGTTTGTTGGTGCTCAGCTTTACACAATCCTAAATGAGAGAGGGTACGCGAAAAAAAAGAAGGAAGAAAGAACAGAAAAAAAAGCAATGAGAACATGAGGTAGACCCCCCTCCCCCCGGCCGCCTCCTTCCACCCCTTTTTTTTTCGACGATCCCCTTTAAAATGCCCGTGGTCTGCGTATGCAGGTATGCGAAGGAAGGCTACGCAGACTACGGACATCTTAAAGGTGATCGTCGGAAGAAAGGGTGGGAGGGGGCGGCCGGGGGAGGGGGGTATACATCATGTTCTCATTGCTTTTTGAAAAACGATAGTCTTTTTAGGGGACCTTCGGCGGAAAATTCTTGGTCTGTCTGTCTGTCTGTCTGTCTCTCTGTGTACATTTGTCTTTTTGTTTGCCCTTAACAATTTTCTAAAGGCCAAAATGGCAATAAATAATACTACACACGGCCGACTCCATCCGCAGCGTCCACCAACTTTGCTCAAGATTTAGCGTTCATACTTGTGCGATTAACAAATAAAAGGCAAATATCGCGCATAGCAAAGGCACTATAACGACAAGTCAATATTCTGTATGTGCGCCTTTTTACTAGAAAAGGCATACTTAAGTCATTCCAAGGACTGTAGGGCTTATCACGTTGCGCTGACGATGCAACGTTTGCACGAAAAGGCGAATGTTTCCTACGCTTTGCTAATATGACTCGGTGGTGCCACCTACCCGTCGCCTTGCGTTCCACATTTTAACGCTTCAGAGACGGGCGCGCTTCGTTTTTCAAGATAACTGCCAGATAGCGCTCATGTCTCACGTGTGACGTGACATGATGCGCTCATTCGCCTCCGGTGCACACTCGAGGCACTCTGACGCAGCGCCTTCAAAAACCATTCACCGATTTTCTTGCGCAGAACGTCAAATAAACGTCTTGTTCGTTCTCTCCAGACGGAATCGTCTTTCGAAGACATTTGCAGTATAACATGTCGATACGGGGCCATTTTTGATTTTCTTTCTTTTTTTCTTCTTTTTTTCGCGTACTCTTTTTCATTTAAGATTGTATAAAGCTGAGCACCAACAAACTGTATTCTTATTCCTGATGAAGGCCAGACTCTGGCTGTAACATGGAAATAAACGACGTTGTGACTGCTGAGGCGGCCAGCACACACCAGTAAACCTGGGAGTAACGTATTTCTTCTATACCGCAAATTCTTGGATACTGAGAATCTTTTTCAATCATCAGATCCATCTTTAAAAGGAGTAAACAAGTTTGTTACGTTCATGTAATCAACGTGTCGCGGTATCTGAGCTTAACTTGAGAAATCTAGGACTCCTATTTAATATTTTTAACTGACGCAGAAGTCAATATTGGTATTTAGGACACCTCTGGCTCATTAAGTCAATGTGCTTTCATTTGACCACGTGTATTAGACTTATTCCTTTCTCGGTGTTACGGCATGAGTGTCTTTCTTAGAGGTGATGGTTTGCAATGAATGATGACCAAAAAATGCAATTTTTTTCTTTTGAAAAAAAAAGAGAAAATCTTGTGATAATCAATGCCATTTATGCCGAGAAGAAGTAGAATGATAGCGCTGCCGATGCAATATTTATGCAAGCCCAGGCCGGGTATTGATTTTAAGAGTCAAAGAACCAAGAACACCGTGGCGTTCGTGGTGTCTTGGCAGACAAGGCTGAAGAACGCCAAACGGTGCAGAGTCCACGTGATCGATTCGCTTTGTCCTAACAGGTACAAGAGAAATGCACCAGTTGTTGCAAGTTTTAACCCACCTGTTGGGGCACCGGTTCGTCATGTCGCAGGAAAATGGGTACGCTTTGCTTAAGTTACACTGGACGGGACGCGTTCCGTCAATCATACTGCGAAGGGCGCTGGATAAAAGTTCGCAGTTTGTGCATTCTTTTGAAAGTTTGGGAGCATTGTGGCTGGGTTTTGCACCGCCGTGTTATGACTGCCTTCTGTATAATCAATGCCTGTTTTAATGAGAAAACTACGCGTAACAATACCTGAATATAGTAGTAAATCGCGATTTTTTTTCAGTTGTTCATTAGTCTGACAGAACTTCTTATTCTGCATTGGGGTCTGGGCAGACTGGGCGAGTGAAGTAGTTCAGAGTGCGCGGAGACTAAGTTTTACTGTTAGTGTACCGGTGTTGGTTTATCATTCTGCCTTACCAACATGCACTTTCGCTCCTATATGTATACGTGTCCAAGACTTCGTCTGAAAGAAACCACCTTTCGCCTCCATCGCAACCAAACCTGAAAATCCATCATTCAAGACTGCCATGTAACACCACTCCACTCTTTAATGCCGCATAAATAAAGAATAAATAACTGAATTATAAATAAAACGCCATGCCTGCTCAGAAGGCGCAGCGCTGCAGTCACAGCGAAAGCTAGAAGAGCGACCTTTCAGAGCCTTTTCTAAACACCCATTGAGCAACTTCTGCAAGCACACTTCCAGGGTACGCACTAAGGCATTAATAATAGTTATTTCTGGGTAGCTGATCAGCATTTGCTAAGCTATTTTTCGTCATTCTCCTGAGAGGCCTTGTATACGCTAAACACTTGCAGAAAATTTCGTGCCAACTGTTCATGCAGTGGCTTACGACAATGAGGAATTATGCCTGAAGTGGGTATGCGCCACAGTTAATAGGTGATCGAAAACAAGCTTTTGTAATGGGTTGGAGCATTGGACGACCCACTCGTTACGCTATTCGCATTGCGTCGCGCCTCGATCGTTGTTCCTTAGCTGTTCTAGAATGCTTTATTACTCATATTAACGCAATTCCTTTCCCGACATCAAGCCTGCCTAAAGCAAGTTTGCGAACAAGTCCCTAGCACAAGCATGGCTCAGTTGTCAATAAAGAAAGAAAAAACAAGCGTGGCTCAGTTGTAAAATACTGGGCTGGCACGCAGTAGACCCGGGTTCAAACCTACACTGTGTCCTTGGTGCTACGTTTTTTTTTTTTTCTAATTTCGGACGATATGGTTACGGACACCGGTGGTGGTGGACAACTGCGGCGCTGAGCGTGACCCGATTTGTGATCTCGTAAAAGCTTTCGCTGTAATAAGTGATGAATAGTATCAACAACTATTGCACAAAAGGCACATACCTTGTCCCAAGGGCGCGGCAAACGGGAGTGCTTCTTTTGGAAAGCATGCAGAGCTTGGAAACCGACATGCAGCAGGGCTGGGCGATCTGGCTTGGCGAAGCTCGGCGAAAGAAATACGGGAGACACTAGGGACTCCTTCAAGGGTTTCTGGAAAAAAAGTTGTCATTCGTGCAACCTTTCAGCCATCCACTATGCATCACTACTGAAGTGCTTTTTGTCACGTATACAGTCAAATCATGTTAAAGAGCTTTCTTTCGCGGAAAATATATTTTTTTACTCGAGCACGGGCTGCAGTTGTGCCGCACCTGCACCTGAACCTTGTAGTTTCAAAATTTGAACAAATAAAAAGAAGCTTGACTAAGCAGGCAGATAAATTTTGGCAACTTTCGAAATTTATGCACAGTATAGATTCCGAGAAACATGATGTATATAACTACAGAGCAGGAGTAGTTCTTTGCAGTGACTAAAGCTGTTCAAAAGTCGATTGAAAAGCGACAACGTGAGAATACGGCACGGATAGTTAGTCTCGAGCAGTGCTGCATGCATATGTAGTTGTAAATATAGTACAACCATACGTCATCGTACCAGTCTATTTGATATGCAGCGCCACCTGGGTCTCTTACTAACGGGTGATCTATTGAGGAGGGGCTAGAGTGCCTGCGGCAAACATTCTTTTGGCTGGCCACTTGCCGCAGCCCCTAAAACAGTTTTGGCTGGCCACTTGCCGCAGACCCTAAGGCGGGAAGCGTATACTCGTAGCATTGCCCAAGTCAAATGCAATTACTCTTTCATATGGTCGTTTTGGAACGTTAAAACCCACATATTGGTCAATCAATCAATCAATCAATCAATCAATCAATCAATTATTCTTCGTCTAGGTTAAACGTGGTCAAAACCTTTGCCCACTGTGGGTTACATCCCTAGTCGAAGATGCTGCGAATCATCCTCATTTGCTTGTTGACCTGGCTTGCCTTGTAGCGTGGGCTCTAGAGTGGGACTGATAAGGCGGGCCTGCCATTGCTCGGCGGCTAGTTCGCTAATGGGCTGTACGTCAGTGACGTCATCACCACACGTGTGACCTAAAAAAACTATGACGTAAAGAAACTTGTAATCGCAATAATTGTAGTATCTCATCGCAAGTGAGTTTTGAAAGACGACAAAATTTCATGGGATGCCTGAAGAATGAAATTTCTCTATGACTATCTGTCTGTCTTCCACACAAATCAGTGATCCAGCTAAAGTTCAAGCACTTGCTAAATACCCAGCCATCTTGAACTGGCGACCGTGTTTGTTCTTTTGACTTTCGATAAAAAAGCGAAGATTACGCGTATCTGCGGAGCAATATGAGTATTTAAGTATTCAGCGGTGTGATCCTTCACTAGAAAATACTGAAACACGTAGTTTAAAGACCCCAATGTTTCTTAGGTTGCGCTGAAAAAGCGACGCTATGCACGAAAGAAGCGCACCGCGGCTGACGACTATTGTCCTATGATGACATTTGCTGCGAAGCATATGGATACATAACCGATTTTCAACTAGTGGACAGATGCCCTCCCTTCCTTAGCGAGCAATCTTAGCTTTCTGAGCACTCTCCTAGACTGCCATGTATTTTGGGCAACGAACTAAATAAGGTTGTTCGCGAAGAATACAAAGGCGCAATACAGAAAGCCAGGAAACATACAAGGGCTAACTTTAAACTGCCTAAAATGCTTGTCGGCTATCTGTAACCAGACAAGCTGCATTGTTTACAACATTCATCCTGAACTCGCAATACAGTATTTTGCTTTTCTGTTGGGTTTTTTGCAGAATAGGAACATTTTCTTCAATAACGCAGGCCCAATGCGATTTCAAGCGGGGTGAGAAAATAAAATAAAAACTAATGGAGCAAACATAAAAGTAGCTTCTACCGCGTAATATAATCACAATGAGACGGAAGGCAAAAATTATTCCAATATTCCAGCTCGAGGGAACAAAATAAAATTACAATGTTCACGTCAAGGCACAGTTCGATTAGGATGGTGGTGGCGGGTAAGTTTTTATGCTGAACATGGAAGAGAGGATTATGGGTTCATCGTTAGTTTACGATTCTATAGCAGGTAACGAAATTGTAAACCTTAACTTAGATGGCCAATATTCACTGTTTCTCCATCAACAAGAGTACATAGTACAGCCACTGTTTGTCGGTCCTGTAGGTGCTGCCGTGGAAGACAAGCTTGTGGAGCCCACAGACAAAAACTTGCCTCAAAAGGTACCTTGGAGTGTAGTTTTAGCAACGGTTCTATTCTGTCGGCATGGAAAGAAATCATTCTAATCGCGTCCTTACAACCCGAACGCGTAATAATATCCGTAATACAGAGTGCGAGTTCTGGAAAAACTGCAGACTACGTGCAACTTTTTATAACAATAAATAATTCGCTTTGTGGTAAGTGACAAGTTTTCTGCATCATTTTTCGGTTCGTTTTTAGTAGTAGTAGAAGTGAGTCTTCGTACAGTAAAACAATGGCAAACGCTCGAATATATCAAGATAAATATACTGGGTTAGATGTCAAAATTCAACTGTTCATACTATGACGACTCAAATTTACACAAACAGGTCTTACTGTATTACCACATATAGGGAACAGAAGAAAAAAAAAACAACACAGAAAGGATAACTACTACATTTATTTCAATATTTACATTAAATGTTTGATACAAAAAACACAGCTATAATGAATTACTGGATAATAAAGAACAACAGAAATATTGCACATGCAATATATATTTGTTTTAGTAACCCATGAATGTAAAAAGACGTTACACGCTATAATGGAACTGTCATTGGACTCCACTTCTTGTGTTATCGATGGTAAACTAAGAACAGTGTTTTTAATCTTGGAATGGAATATTACTCTAAAGAAATCCGATATGTTACGAGCACACAAAAATATTGGCTACCCTGAAAGCTACGATTAGGCTTAACTCACAAACTCGATGTCTTTCGGCATCTTGATCTGCGTTGCGATGCCTCCACGACCACAATCTTCGAACCGAGTTGTGTCTCCGACGCTGAAGGTGAATGGGCCTAAACATACCCAAAGAACAAAATAATATCAGAAAAAAATTATTCATGAAGTCAGCAACAGCACCTACAAGAAATGAATGCTTTTTTGATGAAAAGGGACAAAGAAACGCTTGAACAAAACATTTCAGTAAGTGGCATCATAAGTCGAGGTTTTCTTCCCATAACTTCCACCGAAAATTTGTAATGTGAATTCTGATTTTCACAGCTGTTGAGGATATGGAGCAAGATCTTTCCCCCCATTGCGATAAGGAGCAAAACGAAGCGGAAACAAACGAGAAACTTTAGAAAGAAATACACTAGCACCATACGTGAATATGACAGATATTTAGGAAACAAATGTGTGCGTTAAGTGAACAACTACAACGGCGACACAATTCTTTTTGTCAATATTAATGCGTGTTGCATTTTCATTCAGGTTTTATTTACTTGCAGAACTTGCAAGTGCGGTTAATATGAAACAAAAACAAAACAAATGTAGCATTCTATGATCGCACTGCCTTTCAATACTGTGTGCTCATCATAGTTTCTGTAGCAGAGACAATTAAGGCGAAATGCACTGTGTTTTAACTTACAACTGAAAAGATTGAGTTGAATTTCAGGAGTGTCATGATAACGTGCCTGTCGTTACTGTGTCGGGTGATAACAGGGCTTATCAAGACTTACGTCTCTCGATTAAGGGCATCTATATCGCGAATAATTGTTACTTTACCTGAATACTTTGTGGGAGATGAGTATATTACAATGAAGGAACCATGGCAAAGCCACAGATGGTAATTGTATCTCTCTTGATATCAGTCGTCAAACATAACCCAAGCAGTGTACACATGAACTCAGAAATCGATGTGCTGTAAGTCACCAAGCACTTAGTCTGCTAATTACCGAGATAAATCTGAGAAGCCAAGCATCACATGTCATTACCATGTCATGCGCACTACAGGTCGGCGTTTTCAGGGCAGCATTTTTTTTTTTCGTATACAAATGTGCGGGTTTCACGTACATTTCGTTTAACTTCCACGCATCATTGAAACTCAAAATTTGCACGGACGACCTTTTGAGATCCTCCATGTGGGACTAGGCCTTTACGAGTAACTGGACTACAAGTTACGAGTAAGCCTTACATGTGATGACTAGGCTATGTGAGACGTTTTACGTAGCATTGCTATGTCACATGACACGTGGTACACGAGATCACTAGGTCATGTGAGAAAACGCCTTATGTTTGATGACTAGGTCATGCGAGGCTGTTCTTTGTGCGTGATTGGAAGACTATGGAAGACAAACTGTTTCGGCTGATAGCTTTTCAATGGCGTAGGTCAAAGCACAAGATACGCTCCTCAGTATGCCTAATACTGTTCTCCAGGGCGTGGTCTTATGAGCACTGCACTGGTATCATTTAGTATTATATGAGCGTCGACCGGAATGAGAAAGATAGGTCCAATGTATTACATACGAGAAATTAAGAACTGACGAATCGGTTGCAGTTATTTAGACGCCTTTATTTACCTCTGTGTCCTCGGCACTACTGCATTGCTTCTTTCTCCAACCATTTTTAACCGCTGGGCGCTACTTACCGAGGACTTTGACTCTCATTGGCAGGCACTCGTTGATTTCAGTCATGCCCTCGACTTCCGAGAAAGCGACGAAGTCGCCATCTTCCAGACCATGCCGCACTTCGTCTAGGCACGTGACGACAGCCTCTTTGTCCTGGGTAAGGGACAAAGTCGGGCTCAAAGGACAACAATCATCCTTTACTTCGCCCAATGAAAATGTGAAGTCAGAGTCGCTTACAGCGATTTACAACATAAGTCTTGAGCTTGCTTTGAATTCTAATCTAATGATGGATGGACGCGAAACGTTATTTCAAGTCCTGAGGTACATGACAACACGCAGCGGGCCACTCTCACGTTATTCGTTATTCACGTTATTATTATTATGTTATTATTCACGTTATTACTATATAATAGTATAACATGCGGTTCTACCTTCCAAAAATACGACATGAATATAAGGTACAACATGGTGGAAGCACCTTCAATTTAGACCTTCTTGTGTTCTTCAACAGAAACCGACATCGCAAAGCACAGGGGCATATGTCTACCTTTTGCAAAAAAAAAACACCAGTGACTTTCAAAACACTATTGTTATCTATTACGCCTGCGTGGTTCAAGCGTTTGTTAGCAGTACTCTTATAGCAAATCACTTAACCCATTTACATTAGGTAACTCTCATGATAACACTAAAATAACGTTACTGATTCATAGCCTGGTAAAACGACGTAACCCATAGTCCCGCTCATCCTCACAGAGTTTATAAACCTCCCCTTTCTTTCTTTTTTCAATACAAGATTCTCCATCCATCTTACACAACTATACATATTCGTAAGCGTATACGTATCACTGTGCAATAGCTTCGATGAAATTTCAAGGTTCAATATATTAGATATTGTTCATATCAAATATTTGTCGTATAGAACTAAGTATGTATCAGCATTCGCAGACGAGAGAGCTTTTTTTCCAAAACGCGTGTCACGAACCTTGGTGATAGAGGCGAGCAAGACAGAGATGGGCCGTTCGCCATTGGAGTCGAGTACGCGAAAATTCTCGCCGAAGTCGCAGAATATCTGCCTGTAACACGACAGAGATCGAGACGTGAAGAGTTGCAATTTTATCAAGCACCATATGGAGAACAGGTATACTATGGCTCATGTGTGCAAAGAGTTTCGCATACAGCAAACTTTGAGCAGCTTCCCTGTTTGAATGCACGCTCCAGGAACCCGTACAACAACCAAGCAGCCAAAGTAAGCTGAGCGCACATCGTTGCTTGGCAATGAGGCGAATTCTACTGGAGCCAAAGCGTACTTATCATAAGTCTCTACTGAATGTAGTCCTTCAACCGCCTCCGTATTTTCTGCGTGAGATATAAAAACCGCGTAATTTAGGCACGCAGCTCCTTGAGGCCGAATGCAAGTTAACAACTGAGACAATTGTATACTTGCTCTGCTTGATATGTTCGACATGGTGTTTTTCGAATTTCCGCGTGCCTCAAACGCTAAGCGACGTCTGCGTCGATATAAAACGCTGATTGATCTCAGCGATTCCATTATACTGGGTTGCGAAAAGCGTGCCACAACGGGAGCTCTTCTCGTACTGCTACGCGTAGGAGATACACATGCAGACCCGTACAACAGCCGTACATTTTGATCAGTGCAAAGAAAAGTCGGCGACAACTTTTCTTCGCACTGAACGAACAGCTACTGGGGTGGAGCTTCTGTACATGTAGTATACTAAGCGAAGGAGTCCAATTTGGCACGCACCTTGTAACCCTGTGGAAAGTGACGAGAGCACAACATCAGCGTTTCACGTAGACTCAGATGCCGCGTAGTGTGTGAGGTACACGTAATTATTCTCTGGTTCGAACCAACTATATATAACCCGTGTTACGCACAACGCTCACTGATTGGAACGCGTCAATTTCGGGCTAAGGGACAGCAGCGCGATCGTTCACGTCATTTCCAGCATGCACTTTATTGGCATAATTTTAACTGCAATTGAAAGATCAAGACCAACGTAAACTTTAACGACCAAATTCAGAGACATGGCTCTGTTATCTCAAGTATGTGCTGCCGTTAGTCGTTATACTGAGTCATGAAGCCACGTTTTAATCAGTGGGCACTGGAATTTAAAAAAAAAATTGTTGCACTCACTTTCACAAATTCATGTTGAAACAGCTTAAAATGAATATGCAAAAAATGAAAGGTGACCATAATTCTTGACTTAGGTGGCTGGCACCCATATGCACCCACAAGGATGTGGATGCACCCACATGCACCCAGATGTGCGTTCGCACATCCGGGTGCGTGTTTCCTGGCAGAGGTCACGTAAAAAGAAGTGCGTTGTTGAGATCCGCCCCGCCAGGTGGAGCATTGATCTGACAAGCCCGCAAGAAAATTATGGGCTTTTTAATAAGCCGGTCAGACTATTTTTGAGAATTACCCTTATAGCCGAATGACCTTTGCTTTAAGTGAAGTAATGTTGCAATGTTATATATACCGGAAACAACTCACTCACTTCAACCAGAAGTGAAGAAATGCTGCAAAGTCGTGAATACCCGAAACAACTCGTTCACATCAACCAGAGTCGTGCGTTTCGTACCAGTATTGTCTTCAGAATACTTTTTTCAGAATAATTAAAAAGACGAAGGTGCTTGACCGGAAGTGTCTGGTGAAAAAGTTAGAGTACTGCCACGCGGTGCTGGTGTCTCAAGAGAACAGTTGTAGAAGAGTCTGGTATTGGACCTGTTGTTAGGCTTGGCAATCGTAGGCTTGGCAATTGGACGCCTATGTGCTTTAAGTAAACATGCATGTAAAAATTCAGCGCAGGCACCATCTCATTACGTTTGTCTAAAAATGTCCCCTTTTATTGTGATATATAAATGGCAGATACGCCTATACACAGACTCTGTTTTTTTTCTTCATTTGGTATGTCTCAATTATTTTCTTGACCATTTGTGGCTACCAAAAACCTTCTTAGTGGCTTCCTTACCAGAGTCGTTAAAAATGGCTGAACACCCGCATTCCCTACATTTCGCAGGCAGGTTCATGCGTCCTGCTCGCGTTCTCACTCTGCTGCATCAATTGTCACGTGCCCACCTTTTAAGACATCATCCAGGCCGCATGTGCGTCTTGGGTTTACGTTTTCGAGTGGTCATTTCATTAAACTGTTGCGAGTTCCCGGTGTGTATGGTCGAAAATTCGCGGGACTTGAGTACAAGTCCTTGGAAGCTCAATTCGGTAAATGGACAGTTTGCAATATTCTGCAAGGTGGCTCTCCTGTATAGTTTGTTTTCCAACCAAGAACTCTCGTTCACAGACTGCTGTTGTCGCTCATTGTGTTGTACACGCGAGCTCGCGTGCCTTCCCTGCACAATTAGCGAGAAAAGAAGTCTGCCAACGAAAGTTTTTAGTAGAAAAACAAGCCTTACAGTAAGCCGACTTGCAGGTTATTGCAAACTGTCCCTTTTCAAAGGAACAGCCTTGAGGGCCAGCAACGCAGCTACCATTCAAGGGGCGCCAGTGTCGACAGTAAAAGACATTGTGGTCACCGCGGAACTCACCCACAGAGACCACGCGTGTCAGCCACGACGAGGGCGATGTTGTTGACGTGCGTGAAGGCCGAGATAGAGAGCTGCTTCTCGAGGGGAGTGTCGGTGAGCACCACTACCTGCGGGAAAAGAGGCGTGCGCGTAGTTAACGTTCGAAGTGCCCGATTTTTAAAGACCATAGTCTCTCTTGAGACAATTGAACGCCGAAATCTGGGCCTGTCTTCCTGTCTGTCTGTCACATGATTCAGTCTCCCAGCCAAAGTTTAAGCACTTGCTGAACGCCAAGCCATTCTGAACTGGTGGCTGCGTTCACACTTGTGAACGATGTTGATCAAAAAGCAAATATTACGTACATCTGAGGCGCAACACGAGCACATAGGTATTCGGTGGCGTGCCCCTTAAATAGTAAAATACATAGATACGTAATAATATATACTGTTTATGTTGAGCTCAAAATGCGACGCTATGCACAGAAACCAACTTTGCCAATAATATGGTGCTGCAACCTGGCGGTGGTCCTGGATACTGCACAAGCTCATGTTTCCCGACGCCACTGCCAGATGGCGTCGGGAAACAACACTAGCGCAGTGACTGGGCGTGTACACGACCTACCCCGAGCATTTTGTCTAAACGAGGAGGGAGAAAGTGGGGAGAAGAAAGTTGGCTACGGTGCAGCCGCATATGTTAGCTGATGTGTCGAGCGAAGGCAGCGCTCACGTGACCCCATGCTCCTCACCTCCTTGTGCTCAAACGTCGGATGGCAGAGTTCGCGCATGTGCAGTAAGGGTTGTCATGCCACACGCACACCGAATTGAACACCATCATAAGCTGCTTGACATATTTAAAATGAGTTTTTGCAAGTCTTGCTTTGTGTCAACTTAATATCGACGATCCTCTTCATGCAGGTTTGGAGGAATGGAATAGAACAGACTTGAAAGACAAGCTTAAGAGGTTGGTGTTGATTTTGCAGAAGAGCCCGGCACAATAGCTGTCTTCTGCGAATGCACAATGCTCATGAAAATGAGGTCAATTTTGTGGGATGAGAAACGTTTTTATACAGCCTTTCGTATTACTTTTTCATACTGCACGCTACACCAAACTGATGCAATAATTGTTTTGTAAGCGCGGCATGAGGACATGGAGGTGAGTGTATGAAAACAATGCTGAGTAGGTGCTAAATTTCACAAGGCAGCGGCTAGAAATTGTTGCCGCCGGTTTATTTGTAAGCTTTACCTCTCTTGACTACTACATCTAAACTACCTCTTGGTGACGAAGCATCTCATGTACTTCTTATGCCTGCTCATAATAATGCCACGTTCCATTCCCCAAGTTTTTGTTATCGTCCCAAAACACCACACCATTCTCAGCGCGAACCGCGCCTGCAGTTTTCGAGAAGGTTCCGGACTGTAGTAGATCATTTCGATAAGATCACGCCCACTGTGCGAACGGTACAGATTGTTCTGGAACCTACGCCACCGCCAGCGATAACGCTAGAACATTCGACGGCAAGAGTATAAATGCCGACGCGCTTCGCCACATGTCAGTTGTTGATCGAAGGCCGACGCTCCGTTCGCCGCTATCAGTCCGAGACTGCTATCTGTGTGAGACTGCTGCTGTAATTGGACTTTCCGTTTACCGGGCACAGGTTCGCCCAAATAAACAGTTAAATCCCAACACGAAGCCTCCTGTCTTCGGCCACGTCACGACCCCGTGACATCTGGTGGAGGTGCTGCTTCGTTCACGTACCGGACGCCCCCGTCAAGCCGTGAACCCAGCCCACGTCGCGGAGAAGACACCGACACCAACCAGGAGCAGTGAACCAGCCGCCGACAGCAAGGGCTACCACCGGAGTACGGGCTTCTACAAGACAAGGCGCGGAAGACCAAGGCCATGACCGCGACTGCAGCGACAATGACAACCGCCGCATCCCAGCCCACGATGGTCATGCATCAACCCAGGGAACCACCAATTTTCCATGGGTCATCGTTCGAAGACCCGGAGTCCTGGCTAGAAACATACGACCGTGTGGCCGCCCTCGACCACTGAGACAACGAAGAAAAGCTCCGTCGTGTGTACTTCTACCGGGAAGACACCGCAAGGACCTGGCTAGAGAATCGTGAGTCCACGCTCCGAACGTGGGATGTCTTCTGCGGCGCATTTCTGCAAACGTTCGCGAGCGTCGCTCGCAAAGAAAGGGCCGCTGCTCAACTAGAGACCCTGGTTCAGCTACCAAATGAGAAGGTTGGAATTTTCACAGAGGAGATAACCCGCCTATTTCGTCACGCTGACCCAGACATGCCTGAGGAGAAGAAAGTTCGTTTCCTCATGCGAGGGGTCAAACAGGAGCTCTTCGCCGGACTAATGAGGAATCCACCGAACACCGTCCAAAAATTTGTATCCGAGGCGACCACCATCGGAAAAACCCTTGACATGCGCACCACACAGTATAATCGTCGCCTGACTCCAGAATGCGCTGCTGCTAAAACCAGTGACTCCGACAACCTGCGTGAAACGATCCGAGCGATCGTGCGGGAAGAGCTGCGCAAACTGTTGCCTTCGGCGCACCCTCAAGTGGATTCGATCGCCGACATTGTGCGAGAAGAAGTTCGGCAATCACTTCGAATTCCCCAAACACCGCTGCCTGAGCCAGAAACTATGAGCTACGCCGCTGCAGTGCGTCATAACGCTCCTCCCCGTCCACGCCAAAACGCCGTCCCGTCGCACTTCCGTCGCCGGACACCACCACCCCCACCGACGACCTACCGTTCACCAGCGGGCCAGCGCAGTGCGCCGAGGAAAACCGACGTTTGGCGCACCCCTGACCACCGCCCACTGTGCTACCACTGCGGCGAGGCCGGGCACACTTACCGCTGTTGCCAGTACCGACAAATGGGACTGCGTGGCTTCGCCGTCGATGCACCACGTCCGCAGCCAGGGGAACGGCCACGTGACATCACCGACTACCTGACAGGAACTCAATGGACACCTCGAAGTCCTTCCCGTTTGCCGTCGCCCAGCCGCCACATGTCACCGCACCCCCGGCAGTACTCCGGCCCAACGCGGGGCCGGTCTCCTAGCCCGTATCCGGGAAACTAAGGGCAGCAACCGGTGGAGGTGCGGTTGCTGTGCGACGAACTACCGAAGATCCTCCGACGACGACGACGCCGTGACGGAGCTTTCCGAACACAACGCCAACCAGGCAAAGCCCTGACGGCGAAAGCTCACTTACCGGAGGGGGCCTGACGACGCAACATGGAAGCAGCGGATCAAGCCGACGCAGCCGTGACCCGACGCCACGCCCTAACTGTACTGCGAGACGGCGAACTAGCGACATCGACGTTCTTATTGACGGCCACAGTGTGACCGCTCTCGTCGATACTGGAGCCGACTATTCTGTCATCAGTGGGTCGTTCGCCGCGAACTTAAAGAAAGTTAGGACAGCTTGGAAAGGCCGTGAAATCCGCACAGCCGGAGGTCATCTTGTAACGCCCGCAGGAATCTGCACAGCGAGAGTCACCATTAACGGCCGTATTTATCCTACAGACTTCGTAGTCCTACAGCGTTGCTCGAGAGATGTCATCCTTGGCATGGACTTCTTATGCCTCCATGGTGCTGTCATCAACCTAAAAACAAAGTCGATAACGTTGTCCACAGAAGAAGCACTACCACCGCGCACGCCATCAGGACACCATGCCTTGAATGTGCTGGAAGAACAAGTCACCATTACGCCTCGCTCAAGCGTCATTATTTCCGTCGGCGCTCCTAAATCACCTGACTTGGAAGGCGTCGTTGAAGGCAGTCAGCATCTGTTGGTCACCCGAAATATTTGCGTCGCAAGAGGAATTGCAGAGCTGCGGGGAGACAAAGCAACGGTTATGCTCACGAATTTCAGCAATGAGTACAAACATGTGAACAAAGGAACAACTGTCGCATACATCGAAGAAATTGTCGAAGCCACCAGTACTTTCGCCCTCGCCGATTCTGTGGAACCTGCTCAGAGGAACCAAGGCGCTCCCATAGCTTTCGACGTCAATCCCAGACTACTGAACGATAAGCAAGAACAGCTGAAGGCCCTGCTTCTGTAATACGAAGATTGCTTTTCGGCGTCATCGAAAATTCGGCAGACCCCAATCACGAAACATCGCATCATAACCGAAGAAAATGCCAGACCACTCCGTCGGAGTCCGTACAGGGTTTCGAAGCGAGAACGTGAGGCCATGAAGAGACAAGTTGATGAAATGCTGCGGGATGACATTATCCAGCCGTCCAAGAGTCCATGGGCATCCCCCGTGGTGTTAGTGAAGAAAAAGGATGGGACCTTACGTTTCTGCGTCGATTATTGCCGCCTTAACAAAATCACAAGAAAGGACGTGTATCCTCTCCCACGAATAGACGACGCACTTGATCGGCTCCATAACGCCAAGTACTTTTCGTCAATGGACCTCAAGACTGGCTATTGGCAAATCGAAGTTGACGAAAGAGACCGAGAGAAGACGGCGTTTATAACACCGGACGGCCTCTTCGAGTTTAAGGTGATGCCCTTCGGCCTTTGCTCAGCGCCTGCAACTTTTCAACGCGTTATGGATACAGTACTGGCAGGATTGCAATGGCAAACTTGCCTTGTGTACTTGGACGACGTCGTCGTGTTTTCTTCGAGTTTCGACGAGCATCTTCGGCACCTTGAAGCTGTACTTCAAGCCATCAAGACGTCCGGACTCACACTGAAGCCAGAAAAGTGCAGATTTGCGTATGAGGAGCTCTTGTTTCTGGGACACGTTATCAGCAAGTCTGGAGTTCATCCCGATCCACAGAAAACAGCCGCCATCGCCGACTTCCCGCCGCCCACTGACAAGAAGGCCGTGCGCCGATTTCTGAGCCTGTGCGCCTATTATAAGTGGTTCGTGAAAAACTTCACCCGCATCGCCTATCCTCTCACTAACCTTACCAAGGCCGACGTGGAGTTCAAGTGGGAAACGCCACAGGAACACGCTTTCCAGGAGCTTAAACATCGCCTCCAGACGCCTCCGTTACTTGCCCATTTCGACGAATTCGCCGAGACAGAAATACATACTGACGCAAGCAGCGTAGGTCTTGGCGCCGTTCTTGTGCAGAGGGCTGACGGACTTGAAAGGGTTATTAGTTACGCCAGCCGATCGCTATCCAAAGCAGAAGCAAATTATTCCACAACAGAAAAGGAGTGCCTCGCCATCATCTGGGCTACTTCGAAATTTCGCCCCTACCTCTACGGCAGGCCCTTCAAAGTTGTGAGCGACCACCACGCCTTGTGTTGGCTAGCCACCTTGAAGGACCCTTCTGGTCGCCTCGCACGATGGAGCCTGAGACTTCAAGAATATGACATTACTGTCATTTACAAGTCCGGCAAAAAAACACTCTGACACCGACTGTCTCTCTCGTGCGCCTGTCGACCAACCGCTACCCGACGACCCGGATGACGAGTACTTCTTGAGAACGATAACTACCGACGACTTCGCTGAACGACAGCGGGCCGACCCGGAACTTAAGGCCCTAATAGAATACCTCAAAGGCATGACCGCCGAAGTTCCGAAGGTATTCAAGCGCGCACTTGCGTCGTTCTTTCTACGAAACGGTCTTCTACAAAAGAAAAACTTTTCACCGCTTCGAGCTAAGTGCCTCCTTGTGGTGCCTTCAGTTCTGCGACCAGAACTCCTGCAGGCCCTGCACGACGATCCGACGGCAGGGCACCTCGGTGTTTCCCGCACGCTCGCGAGGATACAAGAAAGGTACTACTGGCCACGTCTTACCACCGACGTCACTCGTTATGTGAGGACATTCCGGGACTGTCAGCGACGCAAGACACCGCCGACAAGGCCAGCGGGACTTCTGCAGCCAATTGATCCACCTTGCCGACCTTTCCAGCAGATTGGTATGGACCTACTGGGGCCGTTCCCGACGTCGGCTTTCGGAAACAAGTGGATCGTGGTAGCTACCGACTACCTCACCCGCTACGCCGAGACAAAAGCCCTGCCAAAAGGCAGTGCATCCGAGGTAGCTAAGTTTTTCGTCGAAAATATCGTCCTACGTCACGGCGCCCCGGAGGTCCTTATCACCGACAGAGGAACGGCATTCGCTGCCGACTTAACTCAAGCGATCTTGGCATACAGCCAAACAAACCACCGCCGGACGACAGCGTACCACCCACAGACCAACGGCCTCACCGAGCGGCTTAACAAGACGATCGCCGACATGCTGTCAATGTACGTCGATGTCGAACACAAGACGTGGGACACCATTCTTCCGTATGTGACCTTCGCATACAACACGGCGGTGCAGGAGACGACGCAGATATCTCCATACAAATTGGTCTACGGAAGGAGCCCGGCAACGACGCTCGATGCCATGTTACCCAACGTCACCAACGAAGAAAACCTCGATGTGAGCGAGTACCTTCAACGCGCCGAAGAAGCCCGACAACTTGCGCGTCTTCGTATCAAGAATCAACAGACGACTGACAGCCACCGTTACAACCTTCGACGACGCTTCGTGGAATACCAGCCCGGTGAACGTGTTTGGGTGTGGACGCCGATACGCCGACGTGGACTAAGTGAAAAGCTTCTGCGACGCTACTTCGGACCGTACAGGGTGGTTCAACGTCTCGGCCCACTTGATTGCGAGGTTGTCCCCGACGGCATCACGAACTCTCAACGACGCCGATCGCGACCTGAGGTCGTCCATGTCGCGCGCCTCAAGCCGTTTCATGCGCGTTAACAAACTGAAACAGTGTTTTTTTTGTATTATAGTTGTATCGTAATTTATTCATTGTACTTTCCAGCATTATTATTGTACCTTCATCCTTAGTTAAAGCATCGGGACGATGCCTTTTTTTCAGAGGGGGGCAATGCCACGTTCCATTTCCCAAGTTTTTGTTATCGTCCCAAAACACCCCACCATTCTCAGCGCGAACCGCGCCTGCAGTTTTCGAGAAGTTTCCGGACTGTAGTAGATCATTTCGATAAGATCACGCCCACTGTGCGAACGGTACAGATGGTTCTGGAACCTACGCCGCCGCCAGCGATAACGCTAGAACATTCGATGGCAAGAGTATAAATGCGGACGCGCTTCGCCGCTTGTGAGTTGTTGATCGAAGGCCGACGCTCCGTTCGCCGCTATCAGTCCGAGACTGCTATCTGTGTGAGACTGCTGCTGTAATTGGACTTTCCGTTTACCGGGCACAGGTTCGCCCAAATAAACAGTTAAAGCCCAACACAAAGTCTCCTGTCTTCGGCCACGTCACGACCCCGTGAAAATAATAATAATAATAATAATAATAATAATAATAATAATAATAATAATCGCTTAAGTTGTAAGCCCTAAAATAATTATATGACTGTGGAAGACGCCGTGGTAGAGGGCTTCAGAAATTTTGACCGTCTGGTGTTTTTCAACGTGAACTGACAACGCACAGTAAACTGCTCACAACAACAAGTGTTCATCGCAAAAAAAAAAAAAAATGCGACACTCACCCGAAAACGTTTCAAGAAGTCGTTGGTCAAGGGCTCTGTGTGGGCTGTCACTACGACGTAGCTGTTAAGCTCGGCAAGCGATTCCACACATGCCTTGGCGCGGTTCTTGCCAAGACTCTCCTCATTCAGGTAGAACTGCGAAAGAGATGGCAAATTTAAAACATAGCTCTGGTCACAATACTATAAAAGTAAATCCAAATACGGAAGTTTGCGTATATTACTACATGTGCCAGTGCAGAATCAGATTTACCAACGCTGCATTTCTACTCGCTCAAGTGGATATTAATGTCATAACGCAGAAAATTAGGGAAAGGTAGAATCTTGAGGACATGAAGAATGCTTGAACACGGGGTATCTCTGGAATCGATGCTCAGACAAGTGTTCCTGCTTTCTAGAAGGCACTTGCTGCCTTTAGGAGACAGTACCGCACGTCGAAACGTAGGCTGAAAAAAAATCACAGCATATCCACCGAGGGAATGATGATGAGAGGGGCGAAACGTCCGTCAGCCAGTCTGTGCTTCCGTCCGACCGTTCGTTCTTGCTTCTGTCAGTCCGCGTGACCATCCGCGCGTCCATATATGCGTCCGTCTGTCTGTCCGTGTGTCCATCTGTAAGTCCAACCATTCGTCTGTTCGTGCATCCATCCGTCCGTACGTCTGTGCGTCCATCCATCCGTCTGTCCATCTGATGCACGCTCCAAGTACCGCCACCTCCCATCTCGCATCCCCTGTGGAACGTACCCGCTCTAGAGTGAGTGTGTGCCACTGGTGCTTTCTTACTACGACTACATACATCGGACGATGTACAGACCCACCCCTTAAGGAGCTTCGCCCCTAAAATCGCAGCATATCCACGGAGTGATTGATGATGAGAGGGGCGAAGCGTCCGTCAGCCCATCCGTGCTTCCGACCGTCCGTTCGTTCTTGCTTCCGTCAGTCTGCGCGACCATCCATGCGTCCGTCCGTTTGTTCGTGCGTCCATCCGTGAGTCCGTCCATCCGTCTATCCAGCCATACGTCCACGCGTCCATCCGTTCATCTGTCTGTGTGCCAGTCTGTCTGTCCGTGCGTCCATACGTTCATCTAGTGGAAACTCCAAGTACCGCCATCACCCATCTCGCATCCCCTGTGGCACATACGCGCTCTAGAGTGGGTATGTGCCACCGGTGTTTACGTACTACAACTACATACATCGGAGGAGGTGCAGACCCACACCCTAAAGAGCTTCGCCCCTAAGTGTACGGTAAAGATCAGACACATCGTCATTTCAGACTAGGATTCTTCTACCGGAGAAATGAGCTTGGCTTTTTTAGCTCATATCTCAAAATGAATCTTCAAGTGCGATAAGCCACCAATCCATCAGCCAGAGGTCTCTGGTTGCACAGTTGCACATGCTTTCTCCGGCATTGTACAAATAAAAAAACTACAACTGAGAGACACAGAGGAGGCACATACCTGCGCAGACAGATCTGCTAGGGTGCAGTCTCCCTGGTCGTGGATTGTCACCGATCTGACCCCGCTGAGGATTATGTTCTTGGCGATCTCTACGCCTAGGCCCCGCATCCCGCATATGAGGACATCAGATCGGGCCATCCGCTCCATGGCATCGTGTCCCAGCACGTAGCTGCGAAAAAAAATCTAATGGACATGTGACGTCTCCCATGTTGCGCAAAGCGTGCCTGGTACATGCTAAATGGCCATGTTCTGCCTTTCAGCTTGTGCAGGCCGTCCCAGCCAAAGCTGTTTTTGTCCCAGCTGTTCTTTTAACATGGCTGTGCCATGCTTCTTCATCATTTACAACAATGAATAGATCGCTATCTTCAAACCACTACTGCCACTTTACATCTATTTTTTTCTAGTGGACTGATGCTGCATTTGTATTCTAATGTTCAAGTAAATATTTCTCCGTAATCCTTTGTTACGAGCCACGACGTTGATCAGTGACAATATTCTACAAATATGTGCACTCTGATAGGTATTGCCCATTTCATCTCGATGTCCCATCACGAGAATGTGAGATATTGCATAACAATTTGAGTCATACACACATATATTGTACTACTTTAACATTCCATTGATCAGCACTACGATGAGCTATTAGAATATGAAATAACCTGCCTCAACACATCGCTACGTAGTCTAGCCCTGACACGTTCCGTCACCAACTGCACATATTAACTAAGATCGTTCATTAAGAAAGATAAATTTGTATTATTTTGGCTGTAATATGTATCCACCATGTTTTTATTCAGTACGCACTATGCATTATGTACGCATTATCTACGAAGTGTCGATGAGTTTTATGCATGATGTATATTGTTTCTTTCCGATGTTTTATACCTCTACATTTTCTTCTGATTGATGTAATCTTAGAACCTCTTTTTGACAATGCCTAACAGGCCTGTAAAGAAGTGCAAAGAAAAATGTTGCAATGTGCGAAGTGTAGCAAAAGCAGAGTAGTTCTACCACAAAGGTGTAGCAAACATTACTGTAGCAGCAAATTAGATTGTCCCACGAAAAACGGTGAGCAGCGAGATGCTTGAGTAATTCAATCAAATGCAAACGGTTCACGAAAAGAACACACACGCGTAATGAGCGCGAACTATTAACTCTCACAGCTCGACACTCGCTGCACGCTATCAGACACAAAGTGCGCACGCCAAAGGGACACACTGGTGTATACACAGGTCGAATGCGAACGAACATCTATCTCGGTTGCTACTTTTTTTTGTGTGTGTGGTCAGCATGCCGCAAGGGTCGACTGTGCGAGCGTCTCCATATTGAACGCTGTGACGCATGCGGTGACCCCTTGGCGACCCCTTGAGTTATTCTATTATACTAGTAGCGAAACTGCGTTCCAGAACCCGAACACGCGATTCGCCCGATTTTGCGGCAATTAGCAGACTATCGTGCCACCTGGGGGCAACAACGTAAAACAAGATAGCTCGTGTGCCGATCAACAGGTGATGGGACAATCTGCACACTCCCGACGTTTGGGGCAACGCAGTGTCCGCATTTCGATACATGTAGCCTGTGAAAATTCTATGGGGAGTTTCGCAACTCATATGACTGAATAACTTTGTGTGACTCATGAGGCGTGTTGCTTTCGAAGCGTCACTTGCCCGGCGTTCCACATCGCGGAGGGGGCATCAATACAGTTGTGGACAACACTTTAGTACGCGTCTCAAAAGCACTTGACACAAAACGTAGGAGCGTTGCTTAAAAGGACATCATTTGAAGCACACCCTCCTCGCCATCTAGTAGGTAGTAATAATCAGTGATCACGCATGCACAAGTACATCGAGATTTGCGTACCACCAGCAGTAAATGGCGACGAAGGCGAAATTCTGTCGAGTGTGTACAGACCAGACCATTTTCATAATTCATAAGTGCGCTTCTCTGTACTGCATATTTGCCCAAGTAATGGCTGTTCAAGTGGACACGCGGTATACGTTTTTGTCTATTATGATTGTTTTTATCAATATACTACATTTTCTAGCTTGTTGCGTAAGCAAACCGTGCTAGAAACGGGCTACTTGCAGTGACTAGCCACCATTATTTGTTCAAACAGCCTAGAAGCAAATCATATTTTCCTATTTTCAAAAGGGTCTCTTGGTATCGCTATAAACATATGCGATTCTTTGACGGGCACCTATGTCACACAGCAATCTGTCGCAGGGTGGAAACAATACTACACTTAACGGTGTCCACCTTCAGCTCAATAGAAAACGGAGCTAAAGCGCACGCGAATTAATGTTGAGCTGAGGGCAGGAACCCAATTGGTTGGCACGTTCGTGATTGCGGTCCGTAGAAACACTAAATACAGAGAGAGTGAAATCACATACACAGAAAGCACTCTCTGTGTGCTCCGGCGTTTTCACTTTATGTTTTCGTGCTTCAACTGCCTCAAAGTATGCGTTATTCCTCTGTGGGAACCACTGCTTTCCTCGCCTCCACTAATAGAGTTTGCAGTTGTCTTGTTTCATATGTAGTTAAAGGAACACTAAAGGCATCTATTAAGTCGGCTTTGATTGTTGAATTAGCAGTCCAGAAACCTTCTAGTGTTACTTTTGTGCCAAGAAATTAAAATCACGTTTTAGTGGTCCGCATCGGGTTAGCGCACTTCAAGTTTTCTACCTCAAGAAGCGGACCGACCGGACCGACACAGGTCACTGTTGCCGTGCACAATGTTGCCCGGCTTTACTGCGCCAGCAGACCGAAAGCAGTGAGAGCCACAGCAGCAACAACGGCCATTGGTCGATTTCCCGCCATTGGCTTCGAGATGGCAGACGTTTTTTTATTCAACTGCGTCTCGCTAGATGACACCATCTCTCCCGTGTAACCACGCGAAAATTGAATTTTCGAACTACTCGCGCCATTCCCCAGTAACATACGGCGGTTCTTTTTGCCATGAATCAAACAAAATCAAACAAGTAGCATTTTATTGTCTCTCTTGATGCACGGAAGATTCTTTACTTAGTGCAGGTAGATCGATTACTAGTGATTAATTGTAGGCGGTCCGTCTGATGTAATCGGGATCATTTTGAAAATGTCCTACTGTGGCGCATGTGTTCTTGAGCATTTACCTTGATTTCTCATTAAGTAGGGCACTGTTGTTGATAATGTGGTCGTTTTAGATGTAATACATTGAGCTTTCACTCTGACGCAAATTGTTATTCCACTTTAGTGTCCCTTTAAGGAGCTGATGGCTACTCGAAAAGGCAGTGGGTACGACTCATGCCCAGATAAATTGGTTGCCCGCAAGCACAGAAAGCATGCGCTTACAGCTGCCTAGAGTACAGGCCCTCGTCGATGCTGGGCTGATCTTGTGCGGGACCATGATTTGCCATGAATGTCTGCAAAGAAAGACAGGTGGTCGGTAAAAGGCGATCACACGTGCACAAATCTTGAAAACACTAAGAATTCAATTTCTTTATTCATTCAATCAAAGCACTTTACAGGCCCCTGAGGTGCTGCGAGAACGTCAGAAAATGGTACACAGTTCTAGCACTTTACAGTTACATAATAACCAATAGCCAAACGTCCAAGCAAACGACCATTTTCGATAAGACAAGAAACCAAACATCAATTCTCAGACAGCGTGTAGTTACGCACGTAAAGTCAGTTGTGCCTCGAGCGCAAAGCCCTGAGTGTAGATAGAACAACGTGGAATGTAATACGAAGCCGAACTAAGCGTAATCGTTTTGGTATTAAGTGCGCTTTAATAGAACAGAGGCATGGGTGCTCGGCTGCTGACCCCAAGACCGCGGGTTTAATATCGGCCGCGGCAGTCGGATTTCGACGGAGGCGAAACGGTGTAAAGGCCTGTGTACTGTGCGAAATTAGTGCACGTAAAAGAACACCAGATGGCTGAAATATCCGGAGTCCTCCCATGGCTCTCTCATCATGACATCGTAGTCTTGAGACGTAAGAGCCTCGATAATATCGGTGATTCCGTATTAAACCTGGCGCCAATACACGGGAAAACGATGGCGTGATGAAACAGGAACGCAGTAAATAGTAGGGCGTGCATCGTGTCACCTATCACCTCATCGAAAAGCGAGAGGTGAATGTATGGTGCTTCTGCCGGTCCCTGTAAAGATAAAGCACGCGCCACCAGTGGATGAAAGTTCCGTACCCCTCCTTGAGTCCTTGACGTTAAGAAAAACGGCCGGCACGTTCTCTTCCCGCTTGAGCTAAGGGGTGAAAACTCCCTATACCTCCCATGTAATCACTCTCGACAAAGGCAACGCCGTTCTTACTACTGGTGGTTGCCAGGCATCGTACTAGAAATTAATTGAGAATACAAAATTTCTCACATGACAACGCTGGTGATGTCACTAAATAGAAGGAAGGAACGAATAAATTCATAGCATATCCTCGGAGAGAATGATGAGAGGGGCGAAGCGTCCGTACGTCCATCCGTCCGTCCGTTCACACACCCGCTGGTCCGTCCGTGCGTCCGTCTGTCAGTCTGTGCGTCCGATCGCATTCGAGAACGCTGACGGCACGCGGGTAACAGCGACGATCTAGAATATACTCACTCAACAGCAGTTAGTGTGTACTTGTATGAGACAGCGCTGTCTATTATACTGTTCGGAAGATACTGCCTTTCCTTTTTTTTTTTGGCTCTTCTCTCCGTTTCTTGTCTCTTCTTCTTTCGTTTACGCCACACGCAGGAGAACGTTAGAATAAGTCCCGTATTCAGAAACGCTCCTTAACTTGAACCAACGCTTCCTAGAAAAACTATGCCCGGAACGGAGCTCTTTCTTCAATTGGTAGCTTGCTGCCAGCACAAATTCTTGGAGGCCATGCCTCCTACCGCATGTTGTGATCATCCGCCGCGTGGGACAGCTCGTCTCCGTACCACTCTGTCACGTGACATTACCGTACCGCTCTGTCACGTGACATCACAGCTGCTGAAAGGCAACTGTGAGAGCGTTGCTGTATTCGCAGGGGGTGACCGCCACAGGCATTCGCCTCCGTACCGGAGGGTGAGGGTAAAATCTGAGGGTAGGGCGGCGCGTTCGCGACTCACGTTCCAGGCATAAGGAACGTGACTAGAGACTACCTTCACTTCTGCGCACTTGAAACGCATCTGTGCGTTTGTGCTGCCTTGGCACCACCTAAATACAGCGCACTCGAAACATGTTAGTGCTGCATTTAAGTCGGTGACAAGCCAGGTTCAAGTCAAGCAGCATTTATGAGTACAGAGAGAGAGAGAGTTCAGGAAAGGAAAAGACGCAACTTCTGCAGCTCTAATTGGGAGCACGGCTCAGCGCCTATTGGGGCTGGGGTGAAGAGGGTATTAGAGATGTGAAGAAGAGAGAAGAAGAGAAATGGCGTCTATGACCAAGGACGTGGCAGGTGGCTTCTATAGCCAGTTGTCTAGTCTAGTGTCCTCAACGAAGGGAAGAACTGCCTTGGATACCTGGGTGTGGGGCTGTACAGGAAAGAGAAGGTCCCTCTGTGTAGCCGCGGGCAGACCGTGGCGACGGAGTGCGGCGAGCAAGTCGCCACGTTGTGTGCGAAGCGCTGGGCAAACCTAGGTGATCCGGATCAGTTAATAGAAGAGCTGAAACAACGCTACACAGGAGAACGCAAGCGAAACGTTAGCCCAACACCCAGTCAAGAATACAATGGAGAACCCAACACTGAGCTCGACGCCCCCATAACCTTTGCGGAGGTTTATGCAGCGGCTCAAAGCTTCAAAAGAAATACAGTGCCCGGATTGGATGGCATTACAAATGCCATGGTACGGAACCTCAGCGATGAAGCATTACAAGCCATCACAGACCACTTTAATCAAGAAGTCTGAACACCGAGTGGAAAGATACCTGCAGAATGGACACTGGCACAGGTTGTACTCATACCTAAACCAGGCAAACGGCGAAGCCTTGATCAGCTACGACCAATTTCTTTAACGTCATGCATTGGCAAGCTCTTCGAAAAAGTTATACTCACTCGCCTTGACCAATACACAGAAGAACGGGGACTTCTACTAACATCTATGTACGGATTTAGGCGAGGAGTGTCTACCCAGGATATCTTCTTACTGCTCAAAGAGGAAGTGCTTAACCCAGCGCCAGGTAGTCTCAACAATCTACTCGTTGCACTCGACATCGAAAAAGCATTTGATAATATTGCGCACTCTACCATACTAGACGGTCTTGCAGCCATAGGATGCGGACAACGCATATTCAACTATGCCTCTGATTTTCTTGGAAATCGCAAGGCGCAGATTCGCATAGCTGGTACCAAATCATCACCATACGACCTCCCACTGAAAGGCACACCTCAGGGCTCCATCTTGTCTCCATTTTTATTCAATATCGGCCTCCGGAAACTAGTCCTCCAGCTGGAGACTGTACCAAACCTGGGCTGTGCCTTTTACGCGGACGATATTACGCTATGGGCAACAAAGGGCTCCTATGGAGAACGACAAGATGTACTGCAAACCGCTATAGACATGATTCAAGGCTACCTCACTGCTGCAGGCATGTCGTGCGCACCTAGCAAATCGGAATATTTGCAAATAAGACCCCCACGCACTCGGTCCAACCGTGCACCCGCGCTGCAGCTAGAAATTGCCGGACAGATCATCAACAGGACCCCAGTAGCTCGAATATTAGGCATGCACGTGCAAGAAAACAGCAGCGTAAAGACTGCAATAGGCAAACTCAAACACACCGTAAAGAGTATTGCATCCCTTATAGCTAGAATTGCGCGAAGTAATGATGGGATGACAGAGGCCGACACAGTACGCCTTGTACATGCCTTCGTTCTCAGCCGAGTCACGTTCGCTCTTCCCTTTCAATCAACACGCAAGCCCGAAATAGAGCAGATTGACAGACTCATCAGAATTGCGTACAAAGCAGCATTGCGACTTCCGAACAGCACAAGCACAGAAAAATTCATGGGACTCGGCATGCATAATACGTATGAAGAATTGGCCGCCGCCACGCTAATCGCACAGCGAGAACGACTCACCACTACGCTCCAGGGAAGAACACTGCTACAGAGGCTGGGATACCCTCTCACCCCTCAATATTGTGGTGATGAGACAGTCATTGTACCCAAGCAAATACGTGATCAAATAATCGTGGAACCAGTTCCAAAAAACATGCACCCGCTCTACAACAAAAAGCGCCGTCAAGCGCGAGCACGAAAACTCCTGCAGAGAAGTAGCGATCCAGACGCTTACTTTACCGACGTCAGTCTTTATCCCGCGCCACCACAAGGCTCCAGAAAACAAGCATATGCATTGGCAGTGACTAACCAAAGCAAAGTCGTGGCCTGCGCGTCCCTACGCACCAGATCAAGTGCCACCGCAGAGGCAGCAGCCATAGCCTTGGCAATCAGAGAAGCCGAAAGAAGGGGGCACTCAGCGTATATTTTGACAGACTCACAAGCTGCATGTCGCTTATACCTTAGAGGCACACTTCCAAGGTGCGTCACTGTTATTTTGGGGTCCATGTTGATGGAGGCACATGGCGTCACTTGGTGCCCAGGGCATGACGGCCTGGGGGGGGGAACGAGGAGGCAAACTGCGTAGCTCGCGGACTTACTGGCCGAGACGCAGGACTCTCCTCAGGACACCTCACAGGGCATCATGAAGAGCAAAGTGTAACAATCGGGCAGATATTGGAAAACCAACGCCTTACAAGACGCACGTACGCCCCTCCACATCCGAACTTAAGCAGCCAACAAGCCCGGGATTGGCGCCGCCTCCAAACGAACACATACCCCCACATACCAAAACTACACGCAATTTTTCCACAAATATACACAACAGGGGTATGCCCATGGTGTAGTAACCACACAGCCACACTTACACACATAACCTACCAATGTACCGAGCGGCCCGCCAATGCAGTATCTAGGTTGGTGCGCTCACTACAAACACTCACAACGTGGTCTTGGGAGGCACGGCTTTCCGGGCTGGCACTGGGGAGCCAACTGGTGACCCTAGACCAGGCCCGGCGAGCCGCTGTGGCCAGTGGGGCTCTACAAGAGGGCTCCACCTGGGATTAGTCACGTAATTTCAATTCTTCAATAAAGTTTATTCCTCCTGGGCAAACCCACAACAGGTGCTCGATGGTTTCATCTGCCCCGCACAAAGTACACGCAGGGGACGAGCTCTGCCAAGCCGATGACGCCGGGCCACAGGCCAGGAGCAGCCGACGCGTAAACGAAGTAGCAGGGACCTCTCCTTTCTGGTGAAACTCTGGTCAGGCAGCCGGGTTAGTGTTTCCATCTTCGCTACACATCAGGTTGGCAGCTTAGCAACAGCCTCGTCAAGTGAGCCTCGAAAAGTAATACCCGTGACACACGGGCAAAAGTAAAGTAC